AAGCTATCCTATCTTTCAAGTTGGATAAAATTGCACACAATGTACAAATCAAATTTGCAATCAGTTTAGTAGTTAGTTCGTCGCCGGCAAACAACGTGATACGTTATTTTTATATATAAAGATTAAGGATTTTTATTGCTAATTTGCAGACATCAAGAAAGTCAACTGGAGTCCTGTGCGTTACCTATACAGGCGCCACCTCCTCCCCCACCCCCGCCTCCGCCGCCTCCACCGTTACCACCCATTCCACCACCTCTGCCTCCATCACAAACACAGCAACAGTCCAAACCATTGGCACGATCGCACACGATACCTAGATGTGGCTCGGCCCCACCAAGAATCGCCGGTCCCAGACTGACTATTACGCCGCAGGATATAGCCAATGTTAAATTAAGAAAAACTAAGGTAAATTCGACTGTACTTCAGAAGAGTGCTATCATAATCATCTCAGTATACCTTTATAACTGTACTAAATAGCATTTTACCGTAGCATGTAGCTAACCGGTGCCACTTCATCTGTATAATTTTCCGCGTCGTTACTACATTTTTCATTGTAACTGCGCTCGTAATAAGAGATCCTAGTTATAGTCTCCATCAATAAATGTCCAACACTAAAATAATTTCCAAAATTAGATCAGTAGTACCGAAGATTACCCGAACATCCAAACTTACAAACTACCCCAGTATAGAAGTAGATCCTTCTCAATATTTATTACGATTCTTGTAGAATCTAGTAACTAATCACCTTCTATTTCTTATGTAGTCTTTATTAATCTCAAATCTTTATCGGATATACCTGATAGCTATATTATACCATCAATATCGCATAATAGGTTCCAGCCTATCACTGCTCCCACAACTGCACTATATCTGTCTCTTTTATCGTATACCTTGTAATATTATTTAACCTTCAAAATTCAAAATATCTTTATTCATGTAGATCTACTACAAACTCTTATGATATGTCAATTCTACCATCAGTTCGGAATGATTTCGAGATAAGAGACTAACAAGAAACTCAGCTCGTTCTTTTCTATTAAATGTTATAGATGTTTATAATAATACAGATTCATTTTTAAATTCAAACTTGGGCGAATAGAGTGACCAACTCTACGACCAACCAAGTCTTGTCCATTATCTTGTCCTGTATTAATACCTACAATGACAATTATCACCTGTTCAGGATAATCCTGTGCATTCGACACTGCCTCCGAAAAATGGACATTTGCCTCTGGTGACACAGCAGATGCTACAGACCACGCGAGCTAAACTGGGCCGCGCCAAGCCTGTAGCCGCTTCAACACCTAAACAACAGTTGTTGTTGTCGGAGTTAGAAAAGTGAGTGTCATGTTCATGAAATTCTCTCTAAAAGAAATTCTACGTTTCTTTTTAACGAGGAGAAAATCGATCTCCAAGATCGGTCGCCTTAAGAGTGGGAGGAACGGGTACTTCTAAACTCTTATCGACCAAAACTTGCCATGGTATTCCTTTTTTCTGACATAACGCCGGGCAAAGGATTTGTTTTTGCATCTATCATAATCAGATTTATATTATAAAACCCTTCTTCATTGCATTGCTTGCTTGATAATGGTTCATAAATCATTTCGTTCTCGCTGATCCGTGATACAACATTTAAATATTATAAAATCGTTTAAGGTATGCTTGTATCTTAACTGCAAGGAGTAACTCAAAGTCAATTGTACCAATAGGATACTAACATCCTATTGGTACAGTTGACATGGGCCATATAATTTTATATGAGTATAAAATAAGTATTTCCCTTTCTAGATGCTTACTACAGGAGACGTCAGTTGCGTCCCTGTATAGGCGACGAGTCGCGAGAAATTCGGTCCGCAGCACTGAGGAGCTTCGACCAAGGCCATACCCGACTGCGCGTTGTCCACGCTCCCCACGTTCGCCACATTCGCCACGCTCCAGCTCTCTACCTCGTCCAGGAACTCTTGTATCACCCTTGAAGTTTCCTAATATATCATTAACTAATATAACTTAAAAAACTGCGAGTTTAGCTTAATTATTTTAGTATTGTTCAATGAACATCTCAATCGCAACTAATGTATTGGTTACAAGTTGTAAGATCTGATTTTTGATATTTTTTATGATGGATTGGTATCATAATGTATTTTTTAATTATTCATATATTATAATACTCATAATATTATATTATTATGTAACTACATCATATTCGTAATTTGATTATGCCTATTTATGTGCAATGTTGCGTTAAGCAAATACTTAATTTAAAAAAAAAAACATGTAATAGCAACAGCTTCACAACTTAAAAAGTAATTAATTTACTAATGAATAATAATATTCATTTTGAAAATAAATTTTAATTAAATTACAAAAGGTACTCTAGTTCTGCTACCTGATATATTACTATAGAACTGCGAATAGAATGTGCAAATTTCTTATATCTGTTATAATAAGGAATTTGATCTTGATCGATTTCAAAATTGTATACTCAATAGATATTGAAAACAATCTTTTATAGATATGTATCATATTTATGACATTATTTGTATAATGTAATTCTCTAATGAAAATAAATGATTTAAATAGAAATGTTGAATTCATTCTTTAGAAATACAACAATTAATCGATATTTTAAAGTGAGATAATAGGATTATTAACAATGGGAATAGTGATCCCAATTATTAGAAATGTACAATATCAATTCAGACTCCGTGCTGCTTACTCTGGAAACCATAGATAATATCCTATACATATATACCGCCATCGGTAGCGCAGTGAGTGCACCATCTTATTATTGTGCTTTAAAAAAGCTGGTATTATTTTATATATACATAAAAGAAAAATTTTACCACTTTGATGTACGTCGGTCAACAGCTAATAATAATTGACACTGAGAGGGCCAGAAATAAAATTGAATTTAAAATGTATGCATATTTTAAATTCAACGCAGTAAAAAACAATAGAATTTGTAATAATCTAATTTTGAAATATGTTATTCTGGCTAACAATAATAGTAATTGCATAACCTATTAACCATATGGCTGTATAGATACATGTTCTGTTGTCGCATAGTTCGTAGCAAGAAATATAAACCTACCAAAAAGTTTCAGGACTGACGGATTGATGACATGTCGACTGACGCTAATGGTGACGTTTCGGCCTTTCACCCCGGCTCTTGTGTCGTCTTGTCATCCCGCCCCTTTTGTCTTTCCTCTTTCCGAAATTTACCATGGCGGACGGGGTGGGTAAAATTTATCAATTTATATCTTTTAATCAAAAATTTTATTTTATCAGTGACACATGAGTTTATACCCTTAATACATATACTAACTCTGTATATCTTTATTTTTAAAGGTACTTTACAGCCCCTAATTTTGTGTTCGGCGAAACTAACAAATCAGAAGAACAATTGCTGATATATGAATAATATGTTAAAATTAGACTTAATGAGTATTTTTGATTCGGAAACTATTGTCCCCATTGCTAGCAATGTTGCTAATATGTTGACCTGCCTTAATTCGGAGAATTTATGTCCCTGTTTTTACTATTCTATTCGTATTTTTGCTATTCTATTCTATTTTTAAAATATCTTCGAAGAAATAATTTGATTACAATTGATAAAAGATAATATGACTCAACAGATAGTGTAATACACACCGGTATGAAGTAATACTATTTGTGTGAAACAATTTATAGTGAAAACAATTTAATTTATAACATAACAATACTAGACAGAGCTTGAATTATGTTCAAATTATAATCTATTAAATATTTAAAGGAGGAGTTCGAAGAAAAACCTAAAGAGTCCAAGGACCCATTTGACACAATGCCTAAAGGGTAAGCATACTATATGTTTGTTAACTAACTAATAGGGTAATTATGTTTTTTTTTATGTAAACAAATGCCATGCAAGGTAATGGCCCTCCATCACCTTTTATGAAAACTGGTAGCTGGTAACTTTTTGTCTCCATCAGATCGTAGTAAGACTTACTTTACCAGACCAAAAAGTTGGCCGCGAGACTACCTTAGTCTAACCTAATTCCTAAAACCTTCACAGTCTCTGTGGTCTAGCGGTTTAGCACACCGCTTTACTCCCATGGTCGCGGGTTCTACTTCACGGGTTGTATACCTGAGTATGATTGTTTGTATCGATCTGGTTGTTTTCTATGTAATTTTTTTTTTTTTTTGATGATAATCAAATGGTGCACCTGTCTGCGATAACAGTTTACACTGGCCGGGCACTGGTGTAGGTTGATAAGATGAGCATGAGGTCAGGTGGGTTAGCCCATCGTGACAAATTCAACAAGAATTTATCGTGATGATTTCCAGGGGGGGGAACCGTGTGGAAGTCAACCTGTCTGTGTGTATTTAAAAAATATATTTAAGATTTTAGTATATCAGTTGTCAAGTACCAATAGCAAGTTTTGCTTATATTGGGGCTAGACGGCGCTATATGAATTATTCAGGGACATTAATATTATTCTTATATTTACAGAACATTCAACATGGATGACTTCAAACGCTGTTACTCAAATGAGGATCTGGCTAAATCAATTCCTTACTTCTGGGAAAAGTTTGACCCACAGAATTACTCCATCTGGTATGCTGAGTACAAGTACCCTGAGTTCCTCACTAAAGTGTTCAAGAGCTGTAGACTGATTACAGGTATGTTCATTTATTTTTAGATTTATTTATATGTTACTAAATTCGACCATAATTAATTTAACATTCAGTATGGCTAGAAAAAATAATAAAAATGCAAACAATATTAATCTATTCTCAATTTGACCACAGACTAACAATAAACCATAGAGTGTACATGCCTGTGTATGTCAAGTACATGATTTATTTAGTTTATTTTATGTCTTAAATTGTTGAAATAATGTAGTCGTACAGTGCAAAGTTCTTGAGTTTCTTAATATTTAATATTTCCTGAAGAGGCAGCTATAGATTAGTTAATCAATTTATTGTGAACCCCGCTGATGTACTTTTGTGGTTGAACAGGCATGTTCCATCGACTGGATAAGATGCGCAAGCAGGCGTTCTCGTCGATGTGCCTGTTCCGAACTGACGGCCACTCCACTATCTCGGGCGTGTGGGTGTGGCGCGGACACGAACTCGCGTTCCCGCTCTCGCCCGACTGGCAGATCGATTACGAATCGTATGACTGGAAGAAGCTGGACCCAGCCAACGAGGAGACGAAGAAACTGGTACAGCAATACTTCTCGTGGACTGGTACCGACAAACAAGGCCGCAAGTTCAACCAAGGCAAGATCTTCAAATGAAGAGCAGAGCGGCCTCTAGTTCCGCACCTGGTACCGTTGCGCTCGTTGCACTTGTGTAACAGTATCGTGTGCCACTCATTTAATGGTGACGACTTAACTCTAAGAGCGAACAGTGTCTTATAAAACACATGTATTTGCATTTATTTTCGACGTCCCTCGATACAGATCAATATTAATTACATTTTTACCGGAAGCCAGCTTTGTAATAAAATTGTTTTTATTTATAAATAAACAACTTTCATTTCTGATTTATAGATTTTATGCCAGTTTCCCTTATGCCACCAAAATTGTTATATGATTAAAATATTAATAATTGGTCACATTAAGTCAGATATTAAGTAATGGCTCACAACCTGAATAAATTATTGTAGTTATTTGCTTTTAATTTTGATAACTCACAAATAGCAATCGTAGACATGCCCATAGTACTGAATTTGAATGGGTGTAAATTAAACAACAAATTGGAAAGCAAAAATTTATATATTTCATGTTTCAGACTTTTGCCTAAACTGATAGATTTGTATAACAGTATTATATACGTTCTTATATATTATTGCGTTCATGAAATCAACTAATCACAAGAATCGCTAAAGCAAATTGTAGCGACAGACGTAGACACAGAAGTCAACAAGCGGTATCGTTTTACATTATTTAGATATAAATATATACTGTCCTGTAGCGATACACTGAAAATATTAAAGTGAAAACATCGAGATAATCCATAATAAAGGGCAAATGCATTTGTTGCGTTAAGTTGCGTACAGTGGACTCGCGTCGCGTATATAACGCATTCAAACCTAAGTTTTCTATCGAATCATGTTTTAGTTTACAATAGACAAGAGAAATCTGACAAACTGATTTTGTAATTGAACGGCAGGTGGATGAAGTGAGTGCAGTTAAATATATTTGTTACTCAGTTCGCATAAAGGGATAAATGACACTTTTTTTTTTCGAACATTATCATAGTTAACATTTCATAATTAATATATTTAATTGTTTTCAGTTTAATATCATTCAACTGCTTATTCCATTATATGGGTCCATTATAAAACCACTTGGACGGTGATACTCAAAGAATTCTATCTCTATAATGCTATGGTTTATTTTAGATTGCACTCGTTGCGTCCACCTGCGTTTTAAGTTAAACTAAATTTCTAGATGGTTCTAGAACTTTCTTTGTAGTATAAGTCGCGACGCACGTCCACTACGACAGACGCTAGGTTACTATCTAAGTACACTATACAACACTACTGTTGGGAGTTGCACAGTTGTAGATTCGTGCTGTGTCAACGATTACGAATAACTTGCATATTAATTTTACCTTTTATATAGATAATCATAAAACCATTGCGTTACTAAATATTGCCTTTTATATCTTTATCGTAAACGACGAGGAATAACAACTAATTTATAACATTTTAGAATTGTATAATAATTATAACAAACGCAAAACGTGATTTATTAACTAAAAACTTTTGAAATGTAAGATCTGCACAGACGAGGACGTTGTCGCACAGAGCACTAAACGTTCACCTGAGACATTCCATAGACGATATTTGTGCAGTGTAGCTTACAGTAAAGAAACTCACGGTTCACCTTATGGACAGTGGTAACTTTCGCCAAAAGACATGAACAGTCACTCACTTGTGGTATTATTAGGACCAGTGCCATATTCAGCCAGCGCGGAGCCTGTACAAATTCTAACAAGAAGCATATGACACCAATTTTTAAGTTTTGTGTTTTTAAAAAAACTACTCTCCTAAATGAAAAATCGCATACTCTTTGAAAAAAGAAATCTTTTCTGTTATTATTGTGTCTTATATGGCACGTAGTATTTCCTACTATTGCTGCTAGGCTAATCCGTCATTACAGATGATTTATATTCATATCTGATACTTTAAATCTAAGTGTAGTATTGAAGATACACCCTTATAGGCGACTTATGCGCTCTATATCAACAGATGAAAATGTCCGCCGAGGACTGGGCAGTCATCGGCGGACAAAGCGGACACTTTGTCTCTCGTCTGCGTAGACCCTTAAAGACAACTCTCCGGTGCATCGAAGCATGCCAGGTCACCATTTATTAAAATACAATATAGTGCAGTCGCCCGGCGGCCGGCGCTGCGACGACGCGACGTAAGGCAGCACTCTGTAGTTACACTAACTACATGTCTCATTCTCGTGGAAGCGAGTATGCGACCACACGCTACTATCATACATAGATACAGCACACGGCATTGAGGTATTATGTAACCAGCTGACGTACTGGAGGAGACGCCGTAATTGCGGCGATAGTACCGCACTTCAGTCACATTCGCTAAGCGCCCGAAGTTGTAATGAATGTTTCTGCAAATTTATCTAATTGACCATGAAACTAATGAAATAAAAATTATGATGTTCGGGTAATCATAAAAAATTTACATTTACTCGCCTTTTCTATATATAGTCGTTAAGAGAATTGGTCCGAAAGTCTTACTTACGAATATGGAAACAATGAAGATAGTTCCTACTTATTTATCTAGTTAATAGCGCTTACTGTTATTGTAAAAAAAATATATGAATTTATGTTGATTTAACTCCTGTTTGTCAGTCTGTTAGTTGTTATTGAGACACAAGTCAAATAACATCAAAGATGACGAAATTCTAATTTCTATGATCATTCATTCACCCTCATCAAAGTCCTTCAAAAATGGGTGCCACACGACATGACGGCCGGACGGATGGCAATTCAAATTAAATACTTTCTTCTAAAAAAATATGATATAATGTTCATCACATCGAAAAATATTTTAAAGAATGTAAGCACTCAAATTAATAATCTAATTTTGTTCCCTACGCATAGCGCAATGTTTGTATACAGCGTCTCCTCTACCATTTGATTACATAAATACCTCAATGCACACGACACGACCGTCCGTCGCATATAAACCGCAATATACACTTCGAACAATTTAATAAACATCAAAAATGCAAAGGTCAACTGTGGCTAATAGGAGAGATATAAACGACGCTACAAATATATACCTAATGAACCAGGTAAATTTACATCTCAAAAATGATAACATCTCGTACGAGTCAATATTATTAGAGAATATAATCTATAAAATGTTAAACTTGTGTCACGGGAGTGCCGGTCCTTGGCAGGGCGGCGGCCGAGAGCGGCGGGGTCATTGTTGTCGCCTCTCCGCTCGGTCATGACGCTCGTGTCGCTCGTGTCGCTCATACCGCTCCTGATTACATCCAGGTGAAATGTGAATTTTAAGCGGAGGTGCCTAATTAAACGATGAATTTCATACTTTTTTTATACTTTGAGCGGCAATCAAGCATATGGCCCAACTGATCAACGGCTACCGTAGCCTATGAACTCCTGAAGAAACCTTAATATACCATTCTTGAAAAACCCCATGTTGTAGTCTCTCGAGAAAATATCAGCAGTTAGTTCATTCCACAATCTAAGTGTACGTGGAAAGAAGCTTGTCTAAAACTGCACTGTCTGAGACCACTCGGTGGTGCGATGGCAAAAGGTAGACAGAAGAACAGTACACTTACTTTTTACAAATAAATAAATAATTATTATCCTTTTTAATAATAAATGTTGTATGTACCTACTTGGAATAGCAAAACAAGCTGACGGCGCACTTAATGGTATATGGTACTTAGCCGTCGCCTATATAAACGAACAGCACTACGGACGTCACGTCATCATATGGCACTTATATACTATTCTTAAAGCCTAAGATGTCATGCCTCATATCTTGCCTTAAAACATATCACAAAGCAAGCTGCTTGGAGGTTAAAATGGGCAAAACTGAGGTAACATACATACCTATTACCATTATTTAATTTACTTCTGTGAATTACAGAAATTGATGTAATATACATTATGGCTACCAGAAAAACCGGAATATAGCTAGTTAGTAGGTAGGTAGTTAATACTACAAACGGTGAAAGAATGAAAGGTTGATATTGAATACAGACAGAAATTGTTAGGAGAAACCAATGTACAGTTATATCAAGCAAATTAGACATTAAAGACTAAATTGGAATCCCATCGTATCAACATTTAAAGAGGATGATGGAAGATTGTGGAAATGAATAAATTATAAATTAATGAATTACAAATAATATAAACATTCTCATCAAAATATCGCTTACCTGATGCACAGACATATCATGTAAATCAAGATCAGCGGTGAATGGACGCCCTACTTGTACACTTAGCTGGAGATGGGTCTCGTCCCCTCTTTCAGACTCCATTGGAGATGCACTGAAATAAAAAAAGAGTCGCAGAGTTATCAAAAATTTAAGAAAGTCAAGTCAAACAAAAATGTAAGTGTTCGGCTCTCTTATAAAATACATAAGTTTTCAAGATTCTTATTCTGTCATCCTTTTTAAGTTATGTTTTTTGTAATTAATTTCTGGTTAAATGGTGTGCTTTTTTTAACATAGCCTATGTCCTAGCCTGTGTCCTTGTCTTACAATTAGTCTTTACATCTTTCAGCCGTTTATTAATGACATATAATCATACTACAACTTTATAATTTATTATATATAAACGGAATAATATTAATTAATTAACGGTATGTAATATTATCTTATCTGTGGTAAAAGTATCAAGTGTGGCGTTCCCCATAACACAGTCGACAGTTGACAATGCTTCTGATGTCTCTATCTGGAATATCGGCCGTGAAGGTATTTCGAATGTGTTAAAACGAAGCTTGGTAATATTAACTACATACATATGTAGTTTCTCGTCTATGCAAACTTATTTATACTTCATGGCTATGGGACCCGAAATTTTTCTAGATAAGTATATTTCACACAAAGATGTCTCTTGCTTCTGCAGCAATATCTCTCCCATTTCTGTGCTACAATAACGCTACCTATCTTATATTATCAAAATATTCAAAGGTCGGTACCTAATACGCAACTGCTGGACGTCATCAGAGAGCAATGGCAACTCATCATCACGCGAGGGTCCGTGTCCATGACACTCGCAGCGACACTCCTCCGGTTCTACGTAACTGAATACCACGTCCCGGCCACCCGAACTTCCCGCGCTAGCATCATCAGCTCCAACGCCACCACTGCTTGTAGCAGCACTCGGCAAGGTCTGGATCCGCTTCGGTTGCTTCCGCCTCTCCGGCACCTCTTCGAAATCGATCCATTCTGTTTTAGCTCGAGTCTCGTAACCTGTTTCAAATATTACAATTAAAACGTCTGATTTTTCAGACGTTTTTTGACGTCTGATGTTTGCCAATGCGTAATTGTGTATTAAATCTTGGACGACCTAATTTAGCAGTTAAGCATCTTACGTAACGTAATTTAAAAAAATTGAAGAGTGAGAATACGTTAGACAATTTACGAATACAAAAGACGATTGATTTATGATATAATACCAACCGGTCATGAGGTGTAATTGCCGATTTTTACTTAGACGAAACGTGTACTTGACTGTTGTTAAATAAAAATAACTTTTTGGTTATAAACTTACCATCACTGCCACTGCGTGTTCGCGTACGCTCCGATCGTGTGGTGCCAGACGCGGAAGTCGTTCGCGGCCGTCGTGGTAAGCGAATACGTATCTTATCAGTGGCCGGCGATGTAGAAGATTCTATAGTGGTGGGTGGCCGCGGCATTTGTGCAATTTGCGGCCCGTACGGCGCCGGGGAAGAGCGTGAGCCAGCTCGTGGTCGTTCCACGCGCGCTACGGTCACGTCACTTCGCTCACGTACCGGCACCATGGGTAATGCTAGTGAACGCTCCAGTGGTAAAGTAGTCGGGACGTAGGGCAATTCCTCTTCGAATGATTCCTGCACAACCAAGCCACGTTGCTCCACATCGTTGACACTACAAGGGGCTGCCGCGTCCGAACTGGTCTCAGATTCTGAAGAATCCTTTCTACCTTCTTGAGGACTTGCCGTCGACTTACTAACAGATTCATGTTTATTTTCTGTAACTCGTTTCGTTTTGCTTCCCGTTTCAACGGGAGGTTTTTTAGGAGCAATTATGGTTATGTGTGTATCACGCAGAGTCACCGCGTCGCTATCAGCAAAACTATTAAGAAACGAATCTGATATTTCACTACTGACACTCGGAGTTTTTGTAATACTAAATTGCGTACTAAATACCTGGTCCCTGCTGCCTACGTGTGTTGAAAATACAAATCGTTCTTTCCTTTTTTTGTCACTGACCTGTTGAGTGTCACTGGTTGTGGGGATGTCAGCTGGTGTACTGCCATTAGAAGTTTCACTATGTTCTTGTGACGTTATCGAAAGTAAATCAGAACTTTGTTCTACGGTCTTATTTACAGATTTTTCTGTATTAGATATATCTACTGGTGGTGCCTGTATTATTGCAGTGACTGCTACTTCACAAGCTTTTTCCTGCGTTGACTCAGTTATCAGTGACGGTCCCGAAATACAGTCAGTACTTGATTTTTCTGTAGGCGAATGCAGCGGAATAATTATACTTCCATCCGGTAACACCGTCCGTTGAATCGGTTTAGAAGTTGTGCGAGTTTCTGTTCCAGCTTTTGGAGTAGTGTAAGTATGTGGCGCGGAAGCAGGTCGAATCGGTTCTTGATGCGTAGCTATATCATTAAATTTGGAATCGCTTTCGACTTCAATATTACTAGTACTGTTCGTCCCACTTACAAAACCAGTTGTGCTCGTACCACTCGTACAGCTGCTTGTCCCATTCTGTTCGTTAGGTGGTGTCCGTAAAGGTATATGAATGATTCCATCCTTTGTATCTTCGTAGTACTTTAGTTTGTCATTTCGACGGTTTGAAGGTTGCTGCGGCTGTATTTGTCTCTGTGGCTGTATTTGTGACTGCACAACGGGCGAATTATCCCGCGTACTTGGCGATGGTGATGTAGCACTTTTTCGTGGAGTCCTAAATAATGAAAGTACTGAACCTCGAATTTTATTGGCGGAAGTAGGTGTTGCTGATCGATCACGACTTCTACTGCGAGATCGACCTTCAGTTAGACTTTTTTTTCTCCTGAGAGCATCTGATGGTGAATCAGGTGATGCAATCGTTTCACGTGATTTAAAAAGCGAACAGAAAGACGATTTTCTAGAAATAACTGTACCGATGGGCGACGGTGTGCGACTGTCTCGAGGAATTTTTCGTCGTGATGGTGTAGGACTTACCGTGTTGGATACTGCGGTGTTGGCAGCTAGTTCAGTTGGTCTACTTGCACCACCCAGTGTTAAAGAATCAGGTTTACGCATTCCTTCGCAATCTATTAACGTTCGCTCGCTTTCATCTTCATCATCATCCTCGTATTCGGAGTCTGGTTTTAGTCTAATTCTAATTATGTCCTTTGAGCGATTTTCATTTTTTTTAACTTCTGGCTCTGTCTGTCTATCTCTAGATCTTGCCCGTCGTTCCTCAGCTCGAGCTCGATTTCTCGACTCTTTTCGATGCTTGTCTTCGTCGGGTGTAGGCAGTTGTTTCACAACTGATTGTGATTCAGGTGGTATTATTGTAGGAGTAGGTGATGTTAAACGCATTGTATTCGGCACGCTAGTAGTAGTTGTTGCCGAAGACGCTCGGGCATTTGCACTAATTGGTCTAATAGTTGTACGCTCTACTGTTGCTTCAGTGCGTACCTCGCGCCTATCCCGCGCATCTACTGCTACTGGAGTCAACGATTGCGGTTGTTCTGAATTTAATTTAGCCATTTCTAATAAACGTTCCTCTACGGCTGCAGTACAAATTTCTGGATCTGTTTCGATTGGCTTTGGTCCACAAAATGATGTTTCCAGTAGCATCTTGTGCGGTGATGGCGACCTTGATATACCTGAAACTACTGAAAGACGTGATACTCGACTATTATGACTGAATCCAGAGAGAGCTGAATGTGCTGAACACTGTGACCCGATACTTGATAGGCGACTCGTTCTTCCGGATACAGCTAACAGCGCTGCCTCAGAACCTTGGCTGTCTTTTCTTGAATGTCGGCGCTCAGGATTTGAGGGAGTGGTAGGAGCCCTAGTTTCACCCGGTGCCGGTTCAAGAAATGCAAGTTCCTCAGTAGAAGAGCGCAAGTCTAGAGCACCGTCTTCCCGAAAACCGAGTTCTAGCCGTGAGCGAGCTTCCTCTCCTCCGCCACTGTTGCTGGCACCTGCGAACAGTGCCAGTTCTGGTGAGCTATCCCTAGAATCGTGATGGCTGGAACTGGAGGCCCGAGAGATGTCAATGCGTGGCGCCGTCTGCAGCGCGCCCGCTGACGGTGTGGAGTGTGAGCGGGCGCGCTGTTCGGGCGGCGCTAGTGCGTCGCTCGTGCTCGGTGACGTCGGTACAACTGATGTCGCGAAGACCGATGGATCTTCGCGGATCTCTGGAAGTCGTATCGCTTGTTTCGTTTCTGGACTTGACTGTAATGTAATATTAATGTATTCATTAGTAAAGAACTCAATCTGCATTATAAGTATTTGCAATGGCAGATTAAGAGCCTCGCAATGTTACACTTGATATATTGACACGCTTTACGTCTTCTACTACGTAATCGAAAGTTTCAGATAATTTGGGAGCAGAGAGAGTTAAAAAGCAAAGAAGCGAAAGAGAAGGTAGAGATACATACTGGCGGTCTCACCTCGTCAGAGACGTCGTGGTCGAAGGAGGCGATGGGCGCAGGCCCGCGGCGCGGCTGCCGCACGGGCGCGCCGCTGGCCGCCATGCGCGGCCCCTAATGCCACTCGTGCATCACGCCACTACCTGCTCCACTCTCCACGCACTACACTCTTCACCGCGATTCTCGCCCTTATTCTATAACACGATTGCGATTGTTTATAACTCAGCCGTATTTTACGACACTACTGCTTCTACTACGAACATATTCTTGTATGTTTCATAAAACGTCTCTCATCTGATTCCATTTCGTGACTTTATATTGAACGGGCAAAAGTTCGACCACGCATGTTAGCACAGGTTAAAAAAATAGTGTATCACATTTAAATAACTAATGAGCATGTACAGCACTGGAGTAGCTATCATGACCTGTTGGTGGTATCGATATCAGAGTAATCACAACACATCCGTAACGTAATGCACTGTAAATATCCCACGGCAGTCGATCGTAGTGAATGCGCGCGCCTGTGTGGGGCGAGCGAGCCCTTTTCGTTTCACATGGGAGGTGACCTAGTGAGGCTGTCCACAAGGGTCCACTGCTGGGCTCCGGCAGGTGCTGCTACGTGGAGGGCCTGGGCCACATCGCGGGGACTTTACTTAGCGGGGGCTCGGAGGCTCGCCGCGCACAGCCGCGCTGCGAGCGCCATCGAGCGCCGCGCCGCGCATGCGTGCCACGCACCCTCACCGCACCCCACACATACAATGTATATATATATATACTTACGTACACCACGTACGAGACTCGATTCCGGCGTACTCATAATCGCCACAGATTAACTATTCGCCGTCACGCGAAGATATGTTATATAATCTTTGAGTAGACGTACCTTGAATCTATGTGTAAGTATCTAATACAAATTTTGGTTGCGGAGCAACCTCATTTTCTGTAACTATGGTACAAGTTGAATCAATTCTTACTACTGGTATCAGCCATAGATAAAATTAGAATTGAGGGTTGAAGTTTAGGTACATGGGATGGCTTGATTGCGCAAGCAGTAGGTAATTAAAATTGACAGCAATATCATGCATGGGCCGCAAAAGCATTCGATCGGAATTAGGTTTTATTACCAAAATAACTTTTATAACCGAATTCTCAACATCTGCTTTTCTTTTAGAGCAATTTCTAATGCAGAATTTTTATTCTTCTAATTAACGATAACATATTTAGGTTGTTTTAACTAGCTCTGTTAATTAATTGACACAAACTAACCTTTTTCATAATTACTGCCAATGACCTATTCTAATATTGATCTAAACACACACAATGACTGGCGTTCAAACTACAAAACATTTCTTATTACTAGTTAATACTGTAAAAATAGAAGTAATGTACAATCTTTTTAATTGAAAGTTATATGTTTCCACTATGTAAATTGCATTATTGTTTTGGAATAATTTTTGTATACAGAAATTATAACTGACATTATGTAGAATTCTGAAGAATTAAATAACAATATCTATTATGAATAATTTAAGGGTTAATATGTAGTTTTATCTAGAGCTGTTGTGAATAGTAATTACCGAGCACTGAGTAACTAGTACCATGCCAAAGTACCGTGTCGTTACTTTGGAATTCTAGTACTTACGTAAAGTGATAATTTACAGGATAAGAGGAATAACATCTGATATAAAATGACAGTACATGGTGGTATCACGGATCTTTGATGATAATGTGATGTTCGTAGTGCTGTTCATGTAGGTATATAGGCGACGGGTACCACTTACCATTAAATACGCCCTATGCTTGTTTGCTATACTAATTACATTAAAAAAATATTATAATTGTTGTAGTTACCGTTATCCGCATATTGACGAAATCTTGTTTTTTTTAAGTTAGCGAACTAATACAAAATAAAAGAAACATCCTGACAGGTATAGGCTGGTACCGAGGTTCGAGAAAAACGATGTCCATTGCATTAAAAGTAACGAGTAAAATATCGACACTGTAGTAACGAGTACCAACTGGTTTCGTAACTGTCATATATAGATGTGGGTACTTACTTTTATACTTTGTTGATTAATAAAGTGTATTAATGTAGGTAGGCACAATATCTTCTTTACATAAAGTGATACAAGCTACATAGCACGTTTTATTTAAAATACTATATCTTGAGGACATATTAGTGGCGACGTAGTGTAAAAGTACTAAAATGGACACAAAAGCTGTGAAATTCGATGAGTTTAATCCTCAAACGGACAATTAATTTGACCGGCTAAAATTTTGTTTCGAGGCAAATGGCGTCATAACAGATTCGTCTAAACGAGCAAATTTCTTTACTGTGTGTGGATCACGAGTGTTTGAAACGTTACTAGCATTAATTACACCTAGAAAAGCGAGTGAAGTGACATTTTTGGAAATAGAAACTATTCTAAGTAAACATTACAGCCCGAGACCGAACGAAATATCGGTTTCGTTTCAATTTTATAAACGTGATCAAAAACATAATGAATCAGTGGCAGATTACATTGCTCACCTGAGAAAACTTAGTTCGGGTTGCAATTTTGTCGATTTGGAACGTATGCTACGCGACAGACTCGTGTGTGGTATGCGTGATGACCGGTTACAGTACGAACTATTGAAACGGGACAAATTACGCTATCAAGACGTAGTGGATGCTATGTTATCATCGGAAAGTGCGGGGCGAGATGTACGCATGATTCAAGTGTCTGCTGGCGCGACCGCGGCGGACGACACAACCATGCCCGGTCCCTCTCGCGGGTCCGGCGGAACGTCATTTTTGGGTTCAGAACCGATGGATATTAACGCTGTCCAGTCAAGAGCTTCCATTCGTTTTTGCTACCGATGTGGTAACCGGCACAATGGACAATGCAGATTTTTAAATGCCATTTGTAGCTACTGTAAGAAGAAGGGTCACCTTGAGAAGATTTGCATTAGTAAAAAGAAAAACAAAACTAATACTGTTAATTTCGCTGAAGAATCAGATGATTGTTTGAATGGAATTTACTGTATGTCAAGTGTGAGTCGCACGCCGCCTTATGAAGTGATAGTTTCACTGGCTGGAGTGCCAGTCTGTATGCAACTGGATACAGGAGCAAGCTATTCTATAATAAAGGAGCAAACTTGGCACAAACTTTGCACACAGATGCCACAAGCCGTACTGCGACCTAGCACATTGTCATTACGAACATGGACAGACACACCGGTCCAAATACTCGGTCAAGTAACACTGCCTGTATGTTATAAGGATGTCTCACAAAATTTGTGTGTTATTGTGGCCAAGGGGAATGGACCAAACCTGCTTGGTCGAGACTGGCTTGCTGCTTTTAACTTTACAATGAATATTAATTTTGTATCAAATACGGATATCAAAGCAATAGATGCAATCCTATCTAAACATAAGGAAGTTTTCAAAAATGGACTCGATACCTACCGTGGACAGCCTGTGACTATACATGTGAAACAAGGAGCAACTCCAAAGTTCCTTAAAGCTCGTCCGGTGCCATTCGCTATAAAACAAAGGGTTGAAATTGAGATTGCTAGATTAGAAAGTGAAGGAGTATTACGCCAAACGTCTTTCTCAGATTGGGCTACACCGGTAGTGCCAATAATAAAAAAGTCAGGGGAGATAAGGTTGTGTGGAGATTATCGCAGCACCGTAAATGAGGCAACTGAATCTGATACCTATCCTATGCCTACAGCGAATGAAGTGTTTGCTGCAGTTGCTGGTTGTAAATTTTTCACCACCTTGGATTTAGATCGGGCGTATACCCAGGTTATGGTAGATGAGAAGACTTCAAAACTCCTTACTTTGAATACTTGCAAGGGCCTTTACACTGTACATCGCCTGGCCTTCGGTGTTAAAGCATGCCCCGGAATTTTTCAACGTTTGATGACATCTTTACTGGGTGGTATCGCAGGTATCGCTGTTCTAATTGATGACATAATAATCGGGGGTCATACTTTGCTGGAAATGCAAGAACGACTTAACGAAGTACTAGGAAGAATTGAACATGCAGGACTACGTCTAAATAAAAACAAATGCAAATTCGGTCAAGAAAGAGTGGAGTTTCTAGGCTTTGTAATTGATGGGAATGGCATCCATCCTGCACCAAGTAAGGTTGAATCTATTGCAAAGACTCCTGAACCTAAAAACAAACGAGAACTACAAGCTTTTCTTGGTCTTTATAATTTTTATGAGAGGTTCATACCTCATAAAGCCACTTTATTGGAGCCTTTACATCGTTTGCTGGATACCCGGCAAGAATGGCATTGGACTGAACGGGAACAAAATTCATTTGAGACGGCAAAGCGATTATTTACATTTGATTTAACGTTAGTTCATTATGACGTAGCTAAACCTATAACACTTACTTGTGATAGTTCAGAATATGGTGTAGGAGCTGTATGTTACATGTGACAACATGTAACAGATAATAACGAATTTCCTATAGCTATGGCATCTAGAACCTTACATCCTCATGAACGGCGTTATTCACAGCTTGACAAAGAAGCCGCTTCAATTATGTTTGGCATAAAAAAGTTTCATAACTATCTCACAGGAAGACAATTCTGTATAATAACAGACCACAAACCATTGCTTGGTATATTTGATCCGAAGAAGCCAATGCCTAATATGATTTCACCACGGTTGACGAGAATTGCCATAGCCTTGACATCTCATAACTATGAGATAAAATATAAGCCTGGTCCAGAGATAGGTAATGCTGACCATTTAAGTCGTTGGCCACAACCAGTACAAAGTGAACCTCAAACACATATTGGTGAGGTTTTGTTAATGGCTGAAGCTCCAGAAGATTTTCCATTTGATGCAGAAGATATAGCTAGAGAGACAAATCGGGATAAAATCTTATCTAAAGTTATTTATTACATACAAAGGGGATGGCCTGCAAAAGAAACCGACGCTGATTTACGACCATTCTGGTTACATCGCACAGAACTGTCACTGCAAGAAAATTGCATACTTCTGGGATGCCGCGTTGTAGTACCTCACACTCTTCGTCGAGCAACGCTCCAAATACTACATAAAACACATACAGGTATAGTTCAAACGAAAGCACTGGCTAGAAGCTACGTTTGGTGGCCTGGACTAAATGATGACATAGAACTTCTAGTTGGTGGTTGTGTTAGGTGCTTGGAAAATCGACATATGCCTCCTAAGACTACACATGAATGGATTACACCTTCGAGACCTTGGTCAAGAATCCACATCGATTTCGCTGGACCGTATCACAACAAATACTTTTTAATTATAGTCGACGCATATTCCCGATGGCCTGAAGTATTCATGGTAAATAATACAACAACAGCCACGGTAATACGATTGCTGAGAACGACCTTTGCAACTCATGGTCTATGTGAAGTTTTAGTATCGGATAATGGTACATCGTTTGTATCAGGAGATATGAAGCATTTTTTGCAGGCCAATAAAATTCGTCAGGTAACTACAGCACCTTACCATCCGGCGACCAACGGATTAGCAGAACGGATGGTACAGACAGTCAAAGATAAACTAAAGAAAATGAATGATTTATCTTGGGATATCAAAATTCCGAATTTATGGTTAGGTTTGCGGGTTACTCCATGTACAGGAACCAATAAAACCCCCGCAGAACTATTAATGAATAGACAGTTGCGCACATTGTTAGATACTATACATCCAGATAATCTGAAACATAAAAGAACAGAAATACAAATTGACAACAATAAACAGATAGCAGGCAGAGAAACTACTGTGGGACAAAATGTAATGTTCAGAAATTATAGCAATCAGGGCCCTAAATGGTTACCAGGCAAAGTCTTGCAGAAAAGTGGGCCTTCCAATTACAAAATCGAAACAGAGGACGGTGTAGCAGTTAATCGGCATATTGATCAGTTGATTAAATATAAACCAAGGCTAGAGAAAGGGGAAGAAGGGATTACTGATATAACGTCAGAGGCAAATAAAGACTCTATTAGCACAGACAGTAGTGGTACGAATTACCAACATGGGCAACAGGAAAATAGTAGTCAAGAGTCAGAGAGAATTATTGAAATACCAGATGCCGAGAAATGGGCTGAGATTTTGGGTATCCCTCCTTCTTCGGAATCAACATTGCCAGTTCCAGGGAAAATTAGAACTAAGTTAAATGTACATTCCAGAACTCCATATCAAAGGCCACAAGATCATATAGACAATCTGTATTTATCCTAAATGTGTTTTATATATAAGTGATCATTGTTTCAGTTATACTATTGGTAGATATTGTTTATTCTTAATATTAATATGTTTAATTATGTTATACTTAATTACAAAGTGATACAAGCTACATAGCACGTTTTATTTAAAATACTATATCTTGAGGACATATTAGTAACTAATACATATTAATCATCATTTGTCGTTTACATGTCTAGTAAACATTTTTCATAAATCTGTCAGACATTAAATGTAATCAATCTAATGCAAATCAGACAATAATTAAATTAAATCAGACAGTAATTTAATTAAATATTATCAGTATCAAGATCGTCAAATCATCGCATTCAGGAACAAGTCTAAAATAAAGTAGGTAATATACTAAGTAAATGTAAGTTGGATTGTGCGGATAAACTAACAGAGAGCTGCAGATCCGCATTTATAGTAGCCTCTCATTTAGGCCGTTATTCTTGTAAAACCGGGACTACTAAATGAAGTCGAATATATGTCATATTTTATATGGTAGATTTTATATTTTTATTCGTGACCTCTGTACAATTAAAATTTTTTCAATTACAAAAGTAAACACAGCTTTTTTTTCATGGAGACTTTATATGAATAATAAATGAAATTTTATTTATTTATACTAGTTTATACCCGTGGCTTTGTGCGCACCTACTGAGAACTAAGATATAATACCCTCGTACCATGTAATTTCACTGGCAGATCTCACTCTTGAATAGAAATATAGATTAAAAAGCCAGTTTTAACAGCTCGGCAGCTGAAATAAAACAGAGTGTGTGTATATTAACAAGTTATAAATTAAAAAAAATACAAAACCTCTATATCTATCTGACATATCTCCTATTACTAACTCTTGTTTGCTTTCTAGATAAATAAAAATCGCGCTACACATTTCCCCTTTTTCATGACATTTTCACTGCAGCTCCTCTCGTATTGGCTTTAGCTATAGCTAATAGTCTTCTCCGATAAATGGGCTATCTGACACTCAAGAAATAGGATTACCCAACGGCTCATTATGGCCAGTGGATAATAAGAATATAAAAAATCTTCGTTTATTGTTTTGTTCTTGGTGTTCCAATCATTGGACAGTGATGAGAGTATTAATATTAATTATATATTATAGAACAACAATAAGGAAACATGACGGGCATAATAATTTTATTAACAACAAAACATGAGGTCCACTGCGTAGTACTAGGTACATGCAACACATCTCAAACAGAGCTAAACATTTCGTAAGTCCTTAATATGATTACATGTTGATCAATAAATATAATTTATTCTTGCATTATAATTATTTATTGTAGTAAGTAGGTATCTAAATATGTCATTAGATTCATTGTGTGGTCTTAGTTTGTATAATTATATATTATAAGATATATGTATATCCATTTATATGTATATAATATAGAATAGTCACAATGGCTATACCAACTCTAAACTCAGTAGTACGCCAAAAACTCACAAAACATAGTCCGAATATATTATATATAAGCATAAATAATTTCTGAAGCTTTCATACACTATATTTATGTAAATATTCGCAGTTTGTATGAAAGATACAGATATTATTTTTGTTTTACCATCCACTGTAGAGAAAGTTGTTAACACATGCTTCCACTGAGTTTTAGGTTGGTTAGTACCCTTACCGACAAACCCTGGGTACACTTATACATTATTACCTCTACGCACTGCTCTATCCTTAACATCAGGGACGATATGATCTAAATTTTACATTTTCATTTGACAACAATAATGTATTCGACATTTATTATTGGATTCAAAAATATCAACGAGCGATACACTATCAAAGTTACAAGCAACGGGTATTATTCTTGAGTTTTTACAATACACATCTCTATAATTAATATTGCAACTACATTACTAGTTTTTTTTTTTATATTTCTGATCACTTTATAAGTTTATATAATTCGCTGGTTAATATCAGTTTAACATCAGTATTAAGTACAACAGTATATGTCGCGTCTACAAGCATCACTAGACATGATCTCTATTTCTATTACAACTCGTCACCACGACCGTAGATTTAACCTATGATATTTATTACATAATTTATGATACCAAATATTTTATGAAACATTTAATAACATAAATCATTATAATTACATATATTTTAATATATATTATATGCATTTTGATTTATTAATTAAACCACTAATATTTATTATACACGTGATAAACTACTGGTGATGATATCACAATCGCATAATATGTATTGAAATTAAAGAATTATAGTCTTAGTTACCGCAACGTTTGTCATTCAGAATCTTTCATAACTCACCGCTCCCACAGCTCAGAGCTTGGACGGTACGCCACTTCTATAGCTCAGCACTGGCTTCGATCACCACTTTCACAATTCAGCGCATCTACCATGCATAGCTCCCACAACTCAATGCTTACGTTACTCATACAAATCAGCGGTCGTACGGCTCATCACTCCCATAACTCAGCGCTTGAGCAGTTCTTACAACTCAGCGGCTTGTAATGTTCCTCGCTTCTATAACTCAGTGCTTACACTGTTCTCACAACTCAGCAGTTTTAATGTTTATCGCTCCCATAACTCAGTGCTTACGCTATCCTTACAATCAGTTGTAATATTTATCGCTCTAATAACTCAGTGCTTACGCTATCCTTACAACTCAGCAGTTTTAATGTTTGTCGCTCCCATAGCTCAGTGCTTGCGCTATCTTTACAACTACGCAATTGTAGGGTTCATCGTCCTTAGAACTCAACGGTTGCACAATTCAACTCTCTTACAGCTCAGTGCCTGGACAATTTACCGTCTCCAGAATTCATTGCTGGCTTGGATTGCCGCTTCCACAACTTTGTTATGACTCAATGCGTCGCATTTACACTGAATACTGCCACTTCTTAAAGCAATACTCACACTTTCTACTGACCTATGCAGACTGTATATATATTAAACATTTTACATAAAATAGAGAATTTAATCAAATCTATAAATTCATAGTAATATCGCTGAATGAAAGTGGATTTGTCGTAACTTGAAAAACTCAACTTTACAAAAATTCTTTTTGATTGAGTTGAGTATCGAGATTCAATGTTGAAATTTGGTATCTATTTAAACAATTTTCAACATTTTATCTCAATAAATATATGAGTTATGAATTTTTGAAATAGCTTTTTGGTTGTAATATAAAGTTGGTTTTTCAATTTACGGGAATTTCGCTTTCTTCCGTCGATATGTTATTTTTGTATGTAATAAATGAAAGCGCTGTATTTAAGAGGGAGATAATGAATTGTAGTTAATGAGATAAATAATGAGGCACACCAAATGCCGCTGGTTGCGATGTAAACACCATATCTAATAGTACAGTACCTATATTAAATTAATTTGATGAGGGGTTATTGTCCTATTCCATTCATACGCTATTGTGCCGGTACCTCTTGAAGTAGTTAGACAACTTTCCACTGTAGGTTTCACACATGAGTAAGGGTATGTTACACCATCGTATATTTAATTATACTCAATATTAACATCATGTCTTATCTTTAATTACAAATATCATGTTACTAAATAGAGTTCCTTTATAGTAAAATATCAATATATGTTGACATTTGCGGCATAATCCAGCGCTTAGAGTATAGTGTATTTAGTACAATTTAGCCATTTATGAATGATAGTGTAATATACCCGGATAGGAATTCTGGAAGCTAAATATTTTGTGCGCACAAACTAACTAATAAATTATTGCAAAAGTATATATTCCCAATAGACTTTCAAAAACAGTATTGAATGTCAACTAACTTACTCCTTAGACATACATATACTCAATCGTAACGTAGTTCTTAAGGGTCCTAACCTAACTGGCGGTTAAAAGGCCTTTAACAAAATACGTTACCACAACGGTCGGTGGGATATCGTCCGATGCATCTTATGATTACAATAAATATGGAACACGATGATTTGATGATGTATATACAATGTAAGCGGGGGCTGATTTAATCCGAGTCGGAGTCTGACGAGGGTGGCTGCGGGGGTGCGGGGGCTGGTGCGGGCGCGGGGGCGGCGGGGGCGCAGGGCCGTGAGTCTGCGGAAGCAGCCACCGCGTACGCAGGAGCCGCCTGCCCCGACGTCCTCTCGATGCCCACTCTGTAGAAACGACCATCTCGTGAAGCATCTACATAGCATCTATAGCCTACAGGTTATACATAATATTACTCAGAGTAGTTTTATTTTCACATCTATGGTTCAGATCCGGCTCTAAGGACCAAAAATGTGTGATACACGATTTTTTAATGATAATAATATTTTATATGTATTTAGTAAATATTATTGGCATTACAATATAATAAAAAGAAACTATGATCCCCATTGAATGATAGTTGCAATTTATTTAATATTCACATAGGTATGCCTTGGTTCCGTGTGATAAAATAACTCGTACCTAACTTCAGAGAAATCTAAAATTTCTACAGATCCCTTTGACATGCAAAAATTCTCTTGTAGAATTTTCTCGTAATTTAATCACTTTAAAGAAATTAGTTTTTTTTCTGGTTCCGTGTGAATATTCATAAAAACCTCTTACTTAAGAGAAATACAAAATTTCTAAAAATTTCTGCGAAGAAAAAACTCTATTTCAGAATTTTCTCGAAATTTAATCACTTCAAAGAAATGAGTTTTTTTAAACTAACTATTTTATATATTTGTATATAGTGACTGTTAATAAAAACTAGCTAAGTAAAGCGAGATCTGAAATTTCGAAAGATCTCTTTGCCTTGAGAATATATTGCCTACAAAAAACTTCTCAAAAAATAATCAGTTTAAAGGTTACCTTTTTCGAAACTAACTTCAATATACAAGTGTTTTTGACCCAGCTAACAAAGAATAATAACATCCAAGTAAAATATACACTGACTGACGGACTGTACAAAACTTAAATATACTTAATGTGGAGTCGTGAACTAATGGAAGGGTCTCAAGTGTTGACAGAATAATACGTACATGTATTCGTGTCGTGCGAGATACCGCACGTACTTAAATATATTTAATGTGGAGTCGTAAAATTAATGGAAGGGTGTCAAGTGTTGACAGAATAATACGTACATGTATTCGTGTCGTGCGAGATACCGCACGTACTTAAATATATTTAATGTGGAGTCGTAAAATTAATGGAAGGGTGTCAAGTGTTGACAGAATAATACGTACATGTATTCGTGTCGTGCGAGATACCGCACGTACTTAAATATATTTAATGTGGAGTCGTAAAATTAATGGAAGGGTGTCAAGTGTTGACAGAATAATACGTACATGTATTCGTGTCGTGCGAGATACCGCACGTACTTAAATATATTTAATGTGGAGTCATAAAATTAATGGAAGGGTGTCAAGTGTTGACAGAATAATACGTACATGTATTCGTGCCGTGCGAGATACCGCACGTACTTCTCGGGCGGGTCACCGTCGTGCTGCTGCAGTGACACGGACCGGACGGTCATGTGGCTGACCTGCGTCGCCGGCATCGTAAACTCTACCAGCGCGTATCGTGCCAGTTCCGCCGGGATCTGGTCGTACGATGTCAGCGCCATCCGACACACGAGGTTGTGTGTTGTGTACGCTCCTGTCATAACGACCGATTAAATGGTTGTAAATATGCCTTCACAGTTATTCCAATTAAAAAAAACAATCCCCAAATATGTTACTAGAAATCATGATATAAACACATTTGAATAGTCATATTTTTTATTCTACCACACATTCGGAGAGTGGACCGTTCGTATCCACTCTCCACAGTAAGGACAGACGAGAGAAACTTGCGTGTTGCTATTATAAAAAATTGTTGTTCGGCATTACATTCTTAAGGTTAAGTGTAAATATTGTTTAGTTCTTGTCGCTCGTTTGTTCGTATCATAATTAGAGTTCCTACCATTCAAGACGCCAATGAACCAGTCCCCCAGGGGCTTTTGGTTCCAGAGTCTTTGTCGGCAAATGGATTCGTTCGTTGGTCCTATCCTGCACGCTCCTGGCCAGGTGCAGATAGGGTGCGCCCCATTAATTTGGCTTCGGAAACCTGTTCGCGTACCTTCACGCTTCCACAATGAAATAGAGAGAAATAGGTCGCCATAACAACGAGATAGGGCCTGTCCTGAAGGAAGCCGCTGGAGCCGTGGAAGTTATAATAACGCAGGTCGCTACTTCGGTAATGACGCTCGTAGGAACTCCATGCGATTTATTAGTGGGTAAGAATCCCACACACAAACAGACGCACCATTCCATTCTCATGCATTAAATAAACCCAACCAGTAGCAGTCAGGACTATGACAAATGAGTCAGCATTACATAGTTATGTAATTACGTAATTATCCATTAAAAATCCAGTAGCAACCCCCAGGATCATAACAAATGAGTCAACATAATAACATAGTTATATAATTACGTAATTATTAAATAAACTATATTTATTTACGTATCCCCGTCTCTACTTGATGAATCAGAGTGATTCATATTTGAAAAATAACACATTTAATTCTACAGTAGGTCAATACCAGACTAAATAAACACAATAAAATATACAGATAATGTATTTTCCCTTATACATTTTATTTGTCTAACTTCAGTTAAAGTCGACATTATTACTTTTTAAAGAAATTGAAGTGGCCAACAAGCGAATGCTTCCAAATCTAATCTAAACGCTAACCAAGCTTCCAAATGCCGAAATTTATGATTCCAAATAAAATGTCTTAACCCTCGTTTTATGTCTACATAGCATATAAAATTCTCGTGTAACAGTGTTTGTACCAAACCTCCTCCGAAACGTTTTGACCGATTATTATGTAATTTTGTCTGTATATTCAGTAGGCCTGAAAATAGGATGTAAACTATTTTAATACACCTAAGCGCCTTATTATATAGGAGATACATACATACATCCCAAATTTCATTTTTATGTTACATGTATTTTTTTATTTACAAAGCTTCGTGATAATGGCAATCCATCCCAGATCCATTTTTTTTTATTTTTTGGTCAGTTTTTTTAATTGAATCACAAATTTTCGAATAGGTTATGTACCTTGGCCCTCCTTGGGTAACCTCGGCATCCTCCAGACTATAGCGCGATGCTGATGCTCGTACTTGGCCTGCCCGGAGGTGACCTCTATGAGAGACTCCTGCAGGGTATCCACCGCTCCCAGGAAACGTTCAATGCCTTTTATCTTCCCGGTGCGCCTGAAAATAAATAACAAATGATCAAGATCCAGACTTACCACGGCTAATCAATTAATACAATAGAAGAATCAAAATATCTTTATTCATTTAGGTCTCTTACAAACTCTTATGATATGTATGCCAAATCTACTGTCAGTTGGGAGTGCTTTCGAGCTAAGAAGCACTGACAAGAAACTCTACTCTTATTATTTTCAAATCAATTCGTATTATCAACTTGTATTTATGAATTTATTGTATTTTAGAATTTAAAGCTAAGTCTGTATTTTTATAAAAATACAAAAATACACATACAGTTTTTAATTCAAAAATAGAATAGAGTCAATATCTAGATTAAGAAACTGCATTACAGGATGCCATCAGCGTCTTATGTATAGATAGATACAAAGAGCTTTTAATTACAGCAGTTTTGAATCAACGTTGATTTACCTAACCATCAACCTGCTCTAATTCAATCTCCATTTCAAGAATTTCATTAAAAATTTCATTTTTAATGCTCACACAAACAAATAAAACTAAAGTGTCTGTTTTTAATTTCAAATCAAATGATTTTCACTAAATAGATATGAAAATATATACAGTATTTATTACATAAAAAAATTGTTAATAAAAAAATTCTCTGTCTGGCTGTTCTTGCTAATCTCTGCAATTGCTTGACTGATTTTGACGAAACTTTCACTCGCAGATAGAATGTCATAAAGAGTAACTTAGGCTTCATTTATTTTATAAATATCATTGATTTGTATAAAAAAGTTAAATTCCACGCGACCGAAGTAATAGGTAACAGCTATTTAGAATAAAACAGAAAGAAGTTAAAAGAAAATAGTGAATATTATTTAATTATTTATTGCAGTATCATGCAAAAATATAAATAACACGCATACAGAGTTTGATTAAGTTGTTACAATTATTTTATAACTGCTTGAAAGAGCACGTTACGAAATCATGAAACATTGAAAACGCTGTATAGGCAGCGGCCTCAATACGGCGCATCGTACCATGCGCCGAAACGTGCCGTCGAGTCAGCAAAACTGAAATGTTGAAATCGACCAAAGAACGCTATCGGAGTTGAATCACTCTTGGTTCTAACATCGACCAATTGGCATCTATAATAGTTAATAAGTTAAATTGTAATTTTTATATTTCAATTAAATTTAATATATAATATTTTTTGGTTTTTTTTGCGCCCTTCGGCTGTAGACTTTTTATCTGGCGCAGTCGGTAGGATCGCTGTAAAGTAGAGTCAGTGAATCAAGCATCTGGCGGCGGCGATTCTGAACCTAAGAAGCTACAGACGAGGGGGTATCCAGACATCGATACTGCAGAGACAACTAAAGAATGCTCATGTAAGTACCACTAGAATCGATCTAGAGTTGCTTTCCTATCTATATTCCTGTGTGATTTTTTTTTAGATCCTGTGTAATTTAATTTTCCAAGATTTTCCAATCGAGGCAATCGAGGACCCGTAGAAATAAAGATATAGATTTAAATAGGAATTTAAATTTTAGCGATAGTGACACTAGCAGTGAAAAATCTTTTTCATCAAGCAGTAATTTTATTATAGGAGATAAATTTAATTTAATTATGGCAGATTTAGACAACATATGGAAGGCCCTTCGAATGGTGCCTGAATTCGATGGTAACCCGAACATTTTAACACGTTTCATTGGCTTGTGTGACCATTTAGTGAACGAGTATGTCAATTCATCACCTGATAATGGCTTATTAAATGCTGCACTACTGAACGGCATCCTGAATAAAGTTACGGGGCCCGCCGCACGTTTAATAAACTCTAACGGCATACCGGAGAACTGGCAGGGTATCCGTAACGCACTTATAAATAATTTTGCAGATCAGAGAGACGAGACCTCTCTCTATAACGACCTCGCTTTATTAACTCAGGGCTCAAGCACTCCTCAGGAATTTTACGAAAAATGTTTAAATTTGTATAGTACCATCATAACATATGTAACATTACATGAAACTATTGCCACCACTATACATTCTAAGCGCGAACTCTATAAAAAACTTACATTACAAGCATATCTACGCGGACTTAAGGATCCCTTGGGATCGCGTATAAGGTGCATGAGGCCTGAAACTATCGAAAAAGCTTTAGAATTTGTTCATGAAGAGATGAACACACTCTACTTGCAAAATCGCAATGAAAGTATGCCTGAAAAGAGGACTAATCCTCTATTTATGCATAATTATAATAATAAATTTAATAATATACCACCACAGCAAGGTCCATCTAAACCATTTACATTTAATATGCCCGGACCATCACGTTCGCAACCCATGCATATGGTTCAACCATCACGTCCTCCCGTGATGTGGAAACCCAACTACAATCAACAATCGCAATTTAGAGGTCCAACTAGAACTCAACAGATATTTAGCGCAGTCCCTCCTAATTATAATCCACGTAGTAATGTATTTGCACTACCCCAACGACCATATAATTCGAACAATACGCCACGCCCTATGAGCGGTGTCAGTCACTACCCAACAAAACCGATGTTGACTGGACATGATTGGAGGAAACATGGAAATCCACCACCTACTAATTACCTTAAAGGTCGCGAATTAAACTTAACTGAATGCTACGAACCCCAATACTATTACGACACATATAATAACGTTGACAGTGACTATTACTATCCCGACTATTATACAGAAAACGACGAACAGACTTATCCATCCCCGTATGTAGAGGAAACTCGTGACGAATTTACTGAAAACGAAAATTACGAAGTTACTGAAAATGAAAATGAATATTCAGAAATCAGGAAAACTAAAATAGAGATAAACTTACAGACACAGCGACAATTACCGTATATTCAGATATTAAATCCGCCCCTTAAATTACTCATTGATACCGGTGCCAATCAGTCTTTCATAAGCCCCAAGGCAGTAGAAAAGTTCTTTCAGCATATACCATGTAATTATGATCCTTTTGAGGTAACAAACATTCATGCAACCACGAAAAATTATTATTCCTTAACTTTACCGTGCTTTCAAGAATTTAAAGAGAATGAAGATATTACTCTATTTATCTATAAATTTCATGATTATTTTGACGGCCTTATTGGTTATGACTTATTAGAAAAATTAGAATCTAGCATTAATCTAAAGGATAAGGTTTTAGTTACACGGAATTCGAAAATACCTCTGTTAATGTACGATTCTCGTAATTTAAATTTATATGAGGATATAATCCCCGCAAATACATCTAAATTAGTTCGTATCCCAGTTAATTTTCATGATGGTGATGCATTAATAAATGATCAGACTATCTCACACTGTCAAATTAAAAGTTGTGTAACTACAGTTAAAAATAACCGCGGCATAGTAGAAGTTACTAACCCGACTAGACATGACATAGTTTTTTCTATGGACAAACCAGTTAGTGCAGAGCTATTCAATATTCAGTGCATTCGCACCGAACAGCAGTCCAATCGCGTAAACGAAGTTTTATCACGTTTGCGTACCGATCATTTAAATCCAGAAGAAAAAGCTAACTTAGAATCTCTTTGTAGTCAATATTCCGACGTTTTCTATATAGAAGGTGAACCATTAACTTTCACAAATAAAATCAAGCACCACATCCGCACAACAGATGAGGTACCAGTTTACACTAAAACCTATCGTTATCCCTTCATTCATAGGCAAGAAGTTCGAGAACAAATATCTAAAATGTTAGAGCAAGGTATTATACGGCCCTCACAATCAGCATGGAGCTCTCCCATTTGGGTGGTTCCCAAAAAAGCAGATGCATCAGGAAAAACTAAATGGCGTATCGTTGTAGATTTTAGAAAAGTAAATGAAAAGACCATTGATGATAAGTACCCTATCCCGAATATAACTGATGTTTTGGATAAGTTGGGTAATTGTCATTATTTCACAACTCTTGATCTGGCTAGCGGGTTCTACCAGGTCGAAATGAATCCAGATGATATACAGAAAACCGCCTTTAACGTTGAACATGGACATTTTGAATTCATGCGTATGCCCATGGGACTTAAAAATTCTCCTTCCACGTTCCAGCGCGTAATGGATAACGTTCTAAGAGGCCTCCAAAATGAAATATGCCTCGTATATTTAGATGATATAATTGTATTCAGCGTCTCGCTACAAGAGCATATGGTTAACTTAGCAAAAGTATTCAAACGTTTGAGAGAATCAAATTTCAAAATTCAGATGGACAAATCAGAATTTTTAAAATTAGAAACCTCATATCTAGGACATATTATTAGTAAAGACGGTATAAAACCTAATCCAGATAAGATTGTTGCTATTCAAAAATTTCCTTTGCCTAAAACAGCCACAGAAATAAAACGATTTTTAGGATTACTAGGCTATTATCGCAAATTCATTCCCGATTTTGCTCGCATAACGAAACCAATGACACAATGCTTAAAAAAAGGTTCAAAAATTTCCATCAATAACCCAGAATATATTAATTGTTTCGAAAAGTGCAAAACTTTATTAACCAATGACCCAATTTTACAATACCCAAATTTCACTAAAGAATTTGTTTTAACAACTGACGCTTCAAATTTGGCAATAGGCGCGATTTTATCACAAGGACCCATTGGTGCCGATAAACCCATAGCTTATGCTTCGAGAACATTAAATACAAGCGAAATAAACTATAGCACCATTGAAAAGGAATTGCTAGCAATTGTGTGGGCTACTAAGTATTTTCGCCCTTATCTGTTTGGGAGAAAATTCACTATAGTTACAGATCATAAACCTCTTCAATGGGTTATGAGTTTAAAAGAACCTAATTCTAGATTAACTAGATGGCGATTAAAGTTAAGTGAATACAATTTTACTGTTATCTATAAGCAAGGCAAATGCAATCAAAATGCAGACGCTTTATCTCGAGTTGAAATACATAACGAAGATTTAAGCTCCATTGCCGTGCAACCCTCTGAAAAACCTCCATCAAGAGCCGACTCTACAACCCTTACAGCTCATACTAGTGACGAAAATCCTATTTTAGAGATACCTATTACGGATGAACCTATTAATAAATTTAGTAGACAAATATGTTTCACGATTGTAGGCGATGTAAAAAGACGTCCAGTTGTTAATAAACCTTTCGAATCACACGTTCGAACTAATATTCAATTATCTGAAAATAATCTAGAACAGGACATCATAAATGCGATTAAAGAATATGTCAACCCCAGAGTTAGAACTGGTATAATAATTTATCCACCCTTAGCTATGTACAAGATCATTCCAATAATACAAGAAAAGTTTAAAAGCTCAGCTATGAATCTCATTTTAACCAAATTAGAAGTTGAAAATGTTAAAGAGTATTTACGTCAACAGGATATCATTCAGAAGTACCACGAGGGTAAGACTAACCACCGAGGTGCAGGTGAATGTTATCTTGCATTATCAAATAAATATTTTTGGCCTAAGATGAGAGATCATATCTCTAAATACATAAGTGAATGTAATATCTGTGGAATGGCAAAGTATGACCGTAATCCAATAAAACAAAAATATTCTATTGTACCACCTCCTACTAAGCCATTTGAAACAGTACACATTGACTTATATACAGCTGAAAATGAGAAATATTTAACTTTGGTTGACGCATTCTCTAAATACGCACAGGCGTATCACCTTCGGGATGGTACAGCTGTAAGCGTAATACAAGCGCTACTTAAATATTTTACTCATCACGGTGTTCCCATAACGTTAATATCTGATCAAGGTCCTGAATTCACAAACCAAATATTCTTAGAATTTACTAGATTACATAAAATACAACATCATAAGACTTTAGCACATAATCCTAATAGCAATGGAATAGTTGAACGATTCCATTCGACTATTCTGGAACATCTACGAATTCTTAAATTAGAACATAGCAATGAACCAGCTGTCAATTTAATGCCGTACGCGGTACTAGGATACAATAGTTCTATCCATAGCTTTACGAAATGTAGGCCTATAGAAGTTATTACAGGTCACTTTGACCCACGTGACCCTATAGATACGAACATAAATGAACATCTTTTCCAACAGTACGTAATAAATCATAAGTTACGAATGAGTATGGTTTATAACATCATTAATGAAACATCTTTACACAATCGTACGGAGATTACAGAGGCTAGGAATAAAGATCGAGAAATTGAAAATGAATATAGTCCAGATGAGCAGGTTTTCATTCGTACCCTATGGCTAGCAGACAAAAATTAGCTCCACGTTTCACCCAAGATGTGGTACTGGCTGATCTGCCAACACACATATATACTAAAAAGAAAAGAGGTCCCATTGCTAAAGCACGCCTTAAGCGAAGACCTAATAGTAACCCGTTGTTACAGAACATTCCTGACGATCACATTACAACTGACCAGAGCGGAAGACGTAACACTTGACACCCTTGACAATGGACCAGGAATTCTTCCCTTCAACCTTGGACCCACTAAAGTCATTTCCCATTATCACTCATTTTTATACTACATAGACCTAGATGACATGTTCACAAAAATAGAATCAGTTATAAGTCAGATAGATAATTTTAATCCTCAACTTAAAAATAAAACGTTATCTCTCTATGAACCCCATCTCTTACATCTTAATAATAAGCTCATAAGAGTACGCGAACAGCGAGTTGCAAACTTTCTTACAGTCACGTAATAAAAGAGGACTCATAGATGGTCTCGGTTCAATAATTAAAAGTATTTCAGGTAATCTTGATTATTCTGACGCTGTGAAGTATGACGGTGCTATAAAAGCTCTTCAAAATAACGAAAATAAGTTAGAAACAGAGTTGAATGAACACATTAGTTTAGGTAAAGAATGGATAACCGATCACTCTGTAATATTAAATAACATAGTAAAAAATCAGGATGAAATAAGTAAAACTATTAACCTAATACTAAAATCAGACGCAGACAGAGATACTGACTTAATAAAGTATGCACATCTAGCTCAATATCTATTGATGCTCACAGATAATACAGATAATTTGTCAGAAATTTTACTTAATTTAGAAAATACGTTAGCTTTTATTCAGACTAAGAGTATATCTCACTCTATAATTAATATTAATTCATTAAATAATATGCTAATTAAACTTAGACAACTTTATTCTAAGGAAAAGGTTATAGATATAGAATTAAGGGAATATTTTTACATTATAAAATCGGGTTCATATTATGTAGGAAATAAAATAGTTATAGTTATTAAGGTGCCGATTGTCTCTCCTAATACCTATATCCTGTATAAACTATCAATCATACCAAACCAACATAATCAAATACTTATACCTACCCAACCCTTCATAGCAATTCAGAGAACAGGTTCTATGTACATTGCGACAGAATGTCCGAAGTTAAGCACATACTATCTTTGTGAAGAACAGCTCCAGTACCAGTACCAGATTCGTGATAACCAAGACTGCATGCAACAGCTTATCCTAAAATAACAAATCAGTCCTTCCTGTGACCTGACTTCAGTAAATCTTACCAGAGCAGCCCTCGAGAAGCTCGATGACCAGCACTACACCATGACACTACCTAAAGCAACTAGAGTACATGTATCCTGCGGGCACGAGTACTACAAAATTCTTAAAGGAAGCTATCTAGTATCAATTCCTATAAATTGTATGCTGTCAACTCCAGATTTTACCATCTCTAACATTCAAGATAGAATTAAAGGACATGCCGTGCAGATTACACTGACGGAAGTACCATATGACGAGCGTGCCACATCTAAACCTCAACCTATAATAAGATTAAATTCTATCAATCTAGAACATCTTCACGAGACAAATGCTAGAATATCATTGCAGCAGCCAGCAATTTTAGAACAAGTCAATGTAGATAGTGTCTACCACACAACTATACCTATCTACACTATTATAGTAATCATCTGTGCAAGTATTGTAACTATTAAATTATATCGCCGATTCCGTAGCTATTGCGGACAAATAAATTCAACTGATATAATGGATACAGTGAACCTTACAAATGAACAACCTAAGGTGAGAAATATCCAACCTAAAGATGTGAAGATCGACACTAACAGCATCCCGGCAACTTTCTCAGTACAGCTTACGAATAGTTGCCTATCTTCGAGGGGAGGCGTTACGAAATCATGAAACATTGAAAACGCTGTATAGGCAGCGGCCTCAATACGGCGCATCGTACCATGCGCCGAAACGTGCCGTCGAGTCAGCAAAACTGAAATGTTGAAATCGACCAAAGAACGCTATCGGAGTTGAATCACTCTTGGTTCTAACATCGACCAATTGGCATCTATAATAGTTAATAAGTTAAATTGTAATTTTTATATTTCAATTAAATTTAATATATAATATTTTTTGGTTTTTTTTGCGCCCTTCGGCTGTAGACTTTTTATCTAGCATGGCAATATAGGCACAAGACCTAGAATATTATAATTATGTAGGTATGTTTTTATTATTACCTGTGTGCAGACTTGACGGAACCGTATCGGAAGTGCTTCTCGACTCTGAACAGGTAGATCCAGCACTCTGGTATGGGGAACCGGATGGCGACGTCCTCGCAAGGCACTTGGCCCAATTTGCGAGACGCAAAACCCGGTACCAACACGTCTGCGCGAAGCTCCACCTAAATATATAACATCAGCTCTTATATCCAATGCAATAGACCAGGTGAGTCGCTGTAGGTACAACTTGGTGAACTAGGGTATAGGAGCAACACACAAGTTTCTTGCTCGTTCTTCTTGTGATGAGACAGCTTTCCGAACGAGTGGTAGATAAAAAACAAATTGTTATGACTATTCAAAAGTGCTATTCTATTCTATTCTATCGCTTCAAGAGAGGTTTTTGATTATACCCCGATAGTGGCAAACAAGCATACGGCCCATCTGATAGTATACGGTTACCGTAGCCTACGTACGCCTGAGATACCAGGGGTGTAACATGCGTATTGCTTTAAGTAACCTTAATACTGCAGAACACCATCCCAAAGTATGGACCACCTACTCTCCTGTCCTTTGTGCTCATCATCCATGCATGAAGGAAGATGAGACGAAAATGCCGAATACGCTAAAGTTGTCGCAACTTTCTATGTTAAAAAATTTAGTTGCTATTGAATATTTATGCACAATTAACTAATTATATTTCAGTCACCATAATAATTAACTGAGAAATCAGTAATACTCCCCAAAATGGTCCTTCGAGCCGGATCAGCCCGTTTTTCAGCCATCAAGCAATTTGGTTAGAAAGCTGTTTTTCTGTTTGTAGTGTGAGGTATAGTAGTGGCATTAGATGGTGCCTTCGCACCATCTAATGACTGCCTAGTCGCATGACTGTTTAGTCCTCCGTAACGACAATAAATACCTCTTATTTATTGTCAATATATCAAAATATATCAAGCGCCACATGTTGTTCTAACCTGCTCGTGTATAGGCGACGGTTACCAGTTACCATCATATGAGCCTTCGACTTCTTCCATTTCACTTCTATAAAAACAAGTACTTGACTTAGCTTTACCTTGTTACCGGTGACGCACCAAACAGCTTTCAGCTGCAGAGGCAACTCCCTGTTCTTGGGCGGGCGCACTCGAAAGCGCATAAGCTCTATATAGCATGCGTCCGGGGGCTTGAACCTGAAAATAAGACATTTATTCTTACATTGTCTGTATGATTCTAATAATTATGATATATCATATTATTGTCATCATAATTTAGTATCCTATACAACTTATTAGTTCTACAGAATAGGTCCTAAATTATGATGATAGTTATACAATATATGTTCTTTACCATGTTCATTGATATAAATGGTTATGTATATATAGTTATATCATATTTACTCACTGTCATGGGCCTAGATGTATTTATATTATTATTAGATGTATATTTATGTTTATACAGTATGAAGGTATTTACAGAATATCAGCGTCTTAGCACCTCGTCACGGCATATGCTGAGAGGAGACCTTTTAATTACACACTTTAATGCTCACAATAATTGTGTTTAATAATCTTTTTTATTATTGTTTACTGTTTCATATATGGAATGAACATATATTCCTTCTGGCTTTTTATCTATACATATAAATAAAATTGGAGTGTCTGTTTGTAATATTGATATAATTGTTTTTACTACATGCATATGAATATAAATACGGTACATACACCAAAATAATATTTTTTATATTTTTTGTTAGTCTGTCTGTCTGTATTTTCCGGCTAATCTCTGAAATGGCTGGACCGATTTTGACGGGACATTTATTGGCAGGTAGCTGATGTAATAAGGAGTAACTTTACGCTACTTTTATTTTAGAAAAATACTGTTAAATTCCACGTGGACGTAGTCGCGGGTACAGCTAGTTTAAAATATTGAGACTTAGACAATAGTGGCATCTGTCTAAAGACGTAGCTGGTTGCTTTATCTGCGTATGTCTGCCACTTACTTAATAATCTGCGTGTTGTCAAACTCCTCTGGTTGGACGCAGGCGTGGAACTGAGCGTCTTCCACTCGGATCCACTCTTCAGTGACCACGGGGATGATGTCGTGGCGGCCCACCACCTCCTTACCCTGGCGGCGGAGATCGTTCACGCCCAGTTCCACGTCCGGCATACCTATGTACCAAAATATTATTTTATAGCTAGAATGAGAAGCTGATGACTAGTGCTGCCACGTTCGATTTGTTATAAATCGGTACATGAAGTAAAAAAATCGGGATTTAGGGTTGCAGATCGAGACAGTAAACAAAAATAAGGGGCTTTTAAGTCTGGGTTTAATTTATTCCGTTTTAAACTACTAGTGCAAGTATAGTATTATATTAATGACCTGAATTAAATATGTATTTAATCTGACATAACAAGTAATCAGTCTTGTCTAATCTAGTCTTAATCAAACATTTAGCGTCCCAATCAGGTACAAATCGGGACGTCCCGCGCAAATCGGGACACCTGGCATCGCTACTGATGACCACCTCGTGTGGTACCGCCTTTTTTGATATCAAGTAAATCTGTATTCATAATTAAATTTTAACAATAATAATAAACTCAGGACAATTCACACAGTGCCATCTAGTCCCAAGTTAAGCTAGCTATAGCTTGTGTTCTGGGTATTAGTATGTAATATTATATTATCTGTGGTACTAGATAACTGATACCAAGGGTGGCTCAACTGAAAAAACATTTTTAATTTTTTTAGATAAATAGACATAATTTTTTTTCCATAGTTTTTATTATGTGGCATTAATAAATACATACAACCCTAAATTTTCACCCTTCTATCACCAACCCCTATTTTAATAGCGAAAACAACGCTACTACTACTCTACTACTCACCGCTGAGGAAACCCAGGAAAAACAATCGCACGCGCGCTATCTGCTTCTGTACGGACCCCTCAGCGTCTTGTTCTACGTACAACTCGTCCACCGCCGTTATTTGTACCTGAACAGCATCAGAAAACATTTCATTGATTGTTACCATGAGGAGGCATCTAATTCCCCAAACTTGTGTGTTTTGCAATATAATATGTACTAGCTGTGCCCGCGGTTTTAGCCGCATTAAATTTCAATATAAAATATAGCCTATGTGTTATGCTGATGCATAAGATATATTACTGTAAAGTTTCATCAAGATCCGTTAAGTAGTTTTTGCGTGAAAGAGGAACAAACATCCATACTCACAAACTTTATCGTTTCTAATATTATTAAAATTGACTTTAAACTTATCCTGCGGTCTATTGCCATTAACAAGACATTGAAAAATAATTTGATACAATATTGAAACTTTAAAAAAAGAGCTTAATCCTCTTTTCCATTTCTTATATCGTTTCTAATATTATTAAAATTGACTTTAAACTTATCCTGCGGTCTATTGCCATTAACAAGACATTGAAAAATAATTTGATACAATATTGAAACTTTAAAAAAAGAGCTTAATCCTCTTTTCCATTTCTTATATCGTTTCTAATATTATTAAAATTGACTTTAAACTTATCCTGCGGTCTATTGCCATTAACAAGACATTGAAAAATAATTTGATACAATATTGAAACCTTAAAAAAAGAGCTTAATCCTCCTTTCCATTTCTTAATTCCTTCTCTTACCCATCCCTTCTCAAAGGACGGCAAAGTAGTTGCAATGCCCCTGGTGTTGCGAGTGCTCATGGGCGGCGGTAACCACTAACCATGAATGAGCCGCAAGCCCTATGCTATAAAAAATGCCTTCTCACCCTTCTTTCACACTGAACAAGAAGTGAATTTCAAAAAACGACGTTAAAACTGTTACATTAAAGTTAATTTTCCATTTATATTTGATATATGTGTGTATGGATTATGGGGGGTATGGATTTCAGTGGTATACCTCTTCCATTTTATAGGTGAGGGCGCGGTCCCGGTGTGCCGACAGCTTGAAGAGAGACTCCTCGATGCAGCATGAGAACTGCTTGACGTCTTCATAGGTGAGCGATCCCAGCTTGAATAGCTGAGACACCTGCACGAAGATAAATCATAGTAATTTAAAAATATAGAAACAATATATACTTTGTGATCAAGGTCTTGAAAAATTATAATTAAGGAACACTTCGCGTCAATATATTTTTTTTATACTACAGTACTTATTTATATTGTAAATGCAAAAATATGTCTAACTTTCAGGTTTAACTTTTCAGTTTGTTACCTTTCAGGTTTTATCAAAACAGCTGAACGAATTTTAAGGAAACTTGACACTAAGGTATGTATCACCAGGATGAACATATGCTGTACTTTGTCTCCAAAATGCAAACGAAGTCACGGCTAACAGTTAGTAGATTTATAAAATATCGTATAAGTAACTAAAATTCACACATAGTCTATCTCTCAAAGATTGTGTTAAGGAATGGGTAATCCCTTTCTAGACAATAAAAAAGCAAGAGCTTCGGAGAGCGTTTTCAATTCCCAAACGCCCCATATTTTGTCCAAACACTCCCATTGCAGAAAAGTAATTTCTAATGAAATATATAAATTAATTAGAATATAATAATGATATTTGGAATATTCAGTTACTTCGGTCAAAAATTAATCTACTTTCTACTGAAGAATTTTGTTCTTCACTACACATACTACGACAATTAACCATACTGCAAATTAGTTATAGTCCATGAATATATACCGGGTTCAATTTAAGTTTGAAGAAGTATATAAAAAGTAAAAGATATAGTCAAATACCTGTGGTGCATGCTCAACAGGTAAGCCCAGTTTCCGAAGATCGCTGCCGAATTCCTTAACACCCTGGTAGTCGCCCTGGATAGCATACGCCGCGAATTGCGACAGTTTATTTGTAATGCGTTCAGCTTTTGTCACTTGCCCGGGCCTGTAGACGTAAATTCTCGTGTCACAATGTTAGTTACCATACTTCTCTGAAACGGCTTAACCGATTTTTATGAAAATTTTATATGCATATTCAGTAGGTCTGAGAATCGGCTACTATCTATTTTTCATACCCCTAAGTGATAAGGGTTGTCCACCCCTAACATTATTTTTTTTATTTTTTAGGCAAAACTTTTTATTTATATTTTTTAGAATTACCTGACACCGGGTCTTTCTTTGTAGAATACATATTGCAGTTTAACAGTAAATATCTTCCCGAACTGGTCGAACTGCTGCGCACCAACTTCCGACACGGAATAGCACGCCTGTAGTGGCAACTCCTGGAATGGTTCCTTGTCACCGGCGGTATTGAACAGCTGGACCACCGGATTGTCACCTTGGTACGTGACACGCACGAAGACTTTCTTCCAAAATCTATTTTTAAAAAGTACTAGGTAAATATGGGGTTGTCTATGCACTTAGTCTATGTTATATTTATAAAGCTTTAAATTTCGAGTACCAAATTCTAAATTATCATTTGATTCTACTGTTCTTTTTGGTCGGTTCTTCCAAACCGTAATTTGTAGTGTTCCTAAGTTTGTATAATTAACAAGTCCCTGGTATAAGACAATTCTCTGGTGATCACCAGAGAATTGTCTTATCGCCCACAGTCAAGATCTCGGAATAAATAGTTTATTCTTTAATCAGGGCATTTATTTTAAATTAATGTAATTTGATATTACTATACTACTAAGTTAGGACGACTGTGACACTTTATAATTGTTTGTTAACTTATATCATCATTATCATCATCGCAGCCCGGAAGACGTCCACTGCTGGACATAGGCCTCCCCCAAAGATCTGTTAACTTATATAAAAAATATTTATTACCTCTGACCAGTTATCTTCTTTTTGTTAGGCTGACGTAAATGCATTTCCCAGCCTGGCCCTTTGTAAGTGGTCCTTGGGAAGTCTTCGAGTGGCATAGACACGTCTTCGTCAAAGAGAGGCGTCGGTGGTGTCTCTCCACCGCTGCCAGAGCCACGCCTATCCTCGCCTGGTACTTAAATTATAATAGTTAGTGAGTAAACTTAGATTAGGCATTGGGCAGTCGATTTTACAGACTTGACTACTTGAGGCAAGTCAATTAATATTTCTTTTATTTTATTTTTAACCGAGTTCCACTTTGTATAAAGTCATAGTCTGTCTTCAAACTTAAATTCAAAATGTACTAAATATTCATGAGTATGATTGTTTGTATCGGTGTCTTCTATATATATTATGTATGCATTTACATTTATAAAAAAAGTATTTAAGTATTTCTATCACGTGTCTAGTACCCATAATATAATTTTTGCTTAGTTCGGGACTAGATGCCGCTGTGTAAATTGTCCAGGTTTATGATTAATTATTATTATATTGGTATATACACACCACATATTGGCAACGGTTACCACTTAATAAATGTTAGCTTCTAGACCTAATGCCTGTGGAATGTACAAACGACGCTTGGAACTTTCCATCAGGTGGGCCAAAGGTTGTTCGCATTTAAGTTACATTTCAGCAATCGTTTTTCCGAACCTATACGATATTGAAACCTTCAAGAAAAGAGCTTACTATTTCTTAAAAGGTCGGCAATGCACTTGCAATTGCCCTGGTGTTGAAGTGCTCACGGTGGTAATAACTTACCATCAGGTGAGCCGTAAGGTCGTTTGTCCACAATGATATAAAAAATCCTTACCTTGATTTTGTGCCTCTGCCGTGACATGCTGTCCTTCAAAGCCACTCTTGTCGAAAGGATTGTAACGTGGAGATTCGGGTAACGCCTGGGGACGAGGGGGTGGGGCCAAAACTGGCACGGTAGCCTCTTCCCCACTGGCGTCAGTTTCTTTAGGTCTATATTAACAAATTAGAACTAGTGTAACTCACAATGTTAGAACTTGTTGATCTAGTAGTTCAGTATTCTGGTTTATTTCGGATGGTTATGGTTTGGTTCTTGCATTTAGATGAAGTGTAACTCATAATCTGAGAACTTATTGGTCTAGTAGTTATTTTGATTTAGTACCTATGTACATGAATTTGTTTCTAGCGCAATAAAATCCAATATAAACAACATATGTCTGAATTATTTTTCTATGTAAGTAACTTTTGTATTGTGTGTATGAAATTTTGATCAGATAAGTAAGCTTGTTTGTCATAGCAATTGCATATAAAAAAGTATATTTTGTATATATTAACAACAAAATGTAGTTAAGTATAACTATCAGTTTGCAAGTATTTATGGTACATATTCAGTTTAGTTTGGGACTTGATGATACTACATGTTATATTTGAAGTATTATAGAAAGGAAATATTATATTACAGTACGATTACAGTATTGGTTTTTTTTTTTCATTGTTTTTCATTTCAGTGAACACAAAAAAATGAAAACCATTATCGTTTCGTTTTCATACAGTGTTGTGGCTACGGTCGCGTCATAAATCTGAGATGGGTCCCTTACACAGACACCATGTCACAGCGACGTGGTGGCGATTTTTCACAGAATTAGAAAACCTAGATATTATCAATAATTATGTTATCTGTGATATTATAGTTTATGTTGTAACTTTTGTTCAATGTGTAGATTTTTTGGTAGTTTCTTTATTCGTTTGCCATGAGTTATTCATTTATTATATACTTTATTGTTGTGTCGTGGTGTGTGTTGTTCCTACATGTATTATATATAGAAACCTTACTCTTGAATCACTCTATCTATTGCTAAAAATTACATTAAAATTCGTTTCGTAGTTTAAAAGATATAAGCGAACAGACAGCGAAAGTGACTTCTTTTTATGCTATGTAAAGATATAATAACGTTGAAAAACACAATATCTTCTAAATGACATTGTACAAAGGTACTTTATAATAAGGAACAAAATTGTTATTCTCTTCAAAACATTTAAATGCACAGGTTTAACTTACCTGATGAATACAGAGAATGTATCATCGGTTGACTCGCGCGATCCTTGATGATCAAGCCGTGGAGTAGCAGCGGGTGGAGGCGGCGCACCCATACTCAAAAATGGATCAAACGCTTCTGCTTCAAAACCACTTGCAATAGCTTCTGAACCACCTTCATCGCCCCAAGCACCTTTTGGAAGCAAAGGCGATATCAATATGATTGTCACCAATATTGTATCTTTTACTCATAATAATTCTGTAGGTCAATAAATAAGGATTTTGTTTCAATCCTGATTAATCTTTGATGTTTATATATTCTAATGTTTGTAACTAATAATATTTTAAAAAATATATAATATAAATACTAAGTTAGGCTATTAAAAAAATAATATTTTGTAATATCTTCAATCTATCTTAATTATTATATAGAAAAACTCACCTGTATTCTTGTGATTAGCTGCAGTAGAGTCAAATTTAGCTGAAAACGCATCGAAAGCATCCTGAGATTCTGGAAACGCATCTTGGACCATTGCTTCAGACGTATCACCCCACCCAGGGTCTTCATGCAACTCTTGAGTTCCCATATAGGTATTCGGATTTACAAAGTCATTGTTCCCAAAGGAATCTTTTGTCGTTGTACCAAATATATCAGTTGACGCAACCCCTACAACTTCATTAGGAGCTGTATCAAAAGTATTACTATAAGTAGTTCCTACAACGCTGTTATTCATAACACTATCATCCGTCTGAACATTAAAAATATCGGCTTGACTTTCTTCAAACATGTTAGAATCCGTATTCGCAGATATTTCAAATGGATTCTTTTCAGCTCCACTTTGCTGACATGGTTGTATAGTATTCTCCAAAATATTAGCAAATGGAGAATTTACTGCAGTCGTAGTTGAAATATCTGGAGAATGTTCTGAGCAATCCATAGCACCATCTGGCGCAGCGACTGCTTCTACGGGTGTGGATATCATAGTTTCTGAAGTTTGCACTTCAGTAACCACCGGGATTACAGAATCTTTTACAGAGTTAAGGTCATTTGCATCCATAGTAGATGCGGATGGTTGTATCTCCATTATTGACTCGGTAGGAGCGCTATCAAGAATATCGTCGCTGAGAAAATCAATAGGTTGCTCCTCTTTTTTAGGAACTGAATATAAGCTCAGTATAGCTTCTTTTGTAGGTTTAACTACCGCTGGTGCCGGCGCGTCAAAAAGGTTAATATCGTCAATTGTCGATTGTACAGGCTTCGGTTGCGTTTGCTGAGATGGGTGAGTATGTGGCACAGGTGGCGGAGCTGGCCTTGGTGGAGGTGGACGTGCCACAGGTGGAGGTCTAGCTGGTGGAGGTCGAGCGGGTTTATTTCGATTTATGTCAAAACTCTCGGTTACTGGTTCGGGTTCTGCTTCCGGTTCTGGAGTGGGACTGGGTGAGTGTATATCACGTACTGACACTGGGCTAGGAGTTCGCGTTGGCGGTATACGGTCAAGTAAGTGCGAACTCGTAAATTCCATCTGTCCAGTGACAGTTAGTATTAAATTTTGAGTTTCTGGTGGTAACGGGTGTTGCTGAGTAAACGACTCATCTTCAGTCGGATATGTAAGGTCTACAGTTGTTGATGTCAACTCGAGTTCAGTGGGTTTAATCATTCGTTCAGAAACACTCGAATGATCAGAAAAAATATCAAACGTATTAGCGGCGAACTCATTACTCTCTTTTGCACCTATACTAGTTGGATCCGTTATACCGAAGATATCAGCTGGGACTGTATCACCTGGAGGAGGTTCATAGCTATTTCCGAAATCTGAAAATGGATTGCTTGCAGCAAATGGGTTATCATTAGCATATGTAGTAGGTTCTGTATCTGTCATCATAAATGGATTCAGTATGGCATCAGTACTGATAGGTGCTGCTGGTTCATTCATACTCAAGAAAGGATTATACGCCATGATTAAAAATAATAAAATGTATTAGTTCAAAAATTCAGATTCAAGGAGCTTTAGCTCAGTTTTTCCTGGATTCAAATCACTTGCAAATGATGTATCGAATGGATCAAAATCTTCTTCTGGAAGTTCAGTAGGACCTAATGGTTCAGGACTGAGAGCTTTTACTTGAAATATGTCGTCTGTGGGTTCTAATAAATCAGATCCAATTTGATTATTATCGTCGGTCTCACAAGAAAATTCTTTGGCTAGTAATTTCAGTTCAGTTTTACTCGGTGCTATATCGCCAGCAAACGAGGTATCAAATGGATCTGTTTCAATATTGTTCTTTGACTGTTGAGGGTCCGATGGAGTCAATACTTTAGCCTCAATTTCGTTATGAGCGCTGTAAAATGGATCACTAGATTTTAAATTAGTTTTAATATGACTAGTCTGTGGATACTCAGAGTGTCGCCTTTTAGTTTGGTAATTAATTTTCGGGGCTAAATCTTCATCAGATCGAGTCCTTGTCAAACTATCCGTAACCGTATCACTGGCCTCTGCTTCTTCACTGATGTCCTCTGTAATGGAAACTTCACGTGTATAGTATGGAGTAAGTGGTTTCACAATTTTCCCTTTACTATCCAAATCAAAAGCCTCAACTGTGTCGATGTCAAATACCACACTTTTGCTTACTACTAAATTTTCTGGTCGAGAAGCACGTCTTTCTTCTTTCTTTGGTTCTTCGGCCCGTGGATCAAAATCTGGATCACTGGGAACACGATAGATTTGGGAAGGTTGTGGTTCAATTAATTCTTGTTCTAATAGTTTTAATTCAATCCTTCCGGGTGCAACAATGTTATCTACAATTGTAGTATCAAAGGGGTCAATTTCAGTATTATTAATATCAACAGGATCTAAAGGCGAGTCACCTAATTGTGTTAAATCAGTAGTACTACCACCAAGTAAATCTCGAGAATGCTCTTTGTCAATAATATCATCCGAAGTTATAGATTCTCTTAATCCCAAAGGGTTCGTTAAATGGATACGAACAGATGACTTCCGTCTATTATTTAATCTCACTTGTACTTCTTCAGCTCTAGGATCAAAGTCGTCGTCGTCTTCAAGAATAACAGCTTCTTTTTTTATTATTGCAGATGATACTACAACGTCAGCAAAACTTGTATCAAATGGATCGTCAAGATATGGGTCTATAACATCAATCTGGTCTTCAACTATAGACTCTGCAAACACAGCATCATTCTTATCTGCTTCAAAGGCTGACCATGACTCTTGCAGAACAGGCTCTAAATTTATTTCTTTTTCTTGTAATTTAGTCGCTTCGATATTACTTTCTAAAGATTCTGCAGCTAGTAATGTAAACTCATCTATTTCCTCCTCTACACGTGTGGCTTGTTCGTTCTCTGTTGTCTCAACTGTAGAACTCCCTTGAGTACTTGATTTATTTTGTAGTATTAATGATGTGTGCAGTGAAACACTGAGATCTATAGGAGATGTAATAGGAACGTCTGCATCTGTGTCTAATATACTCTTTTCCGCGGGTTCAGTATTAATTTCAGTCGAAGGAACTGTGTGATCTGTTTCAGTATTTTCTAACAGTAAATCTCCGGGTATAACTCTTTTTGACCTCCTTGTTGTAACTGTTACGTTGTCAATACGACCCGTGAGTACTTCAACTGCAATACCGATATCTAGTGCCTTTTTACCTTTTGAGCTTTTTACTTCTTGTCCTTTAATTATAGCATCAACGTGAGATGTATCGAAAATATCATCGTCCTGAAATTCTTCGGGTGAATCAGGAACATACGCTAATTTTACTTCACCACGTTCGACTGCCTCTACATAAGAAGTATCAAATATATCGTCTTGGTCCTCTTCTTCAGATTCGTCGTCTGTTACTCCGTAATCACTTTTGTCTCCACTGTCTACCTCTGCAGCTGCAGCTGCTTGTACTAGCTGTGGAAAATCAGCTGCTGTGACTTCAACTACTGGTCTCTCCGATTTCTTGGGATCTGGTTTAACTTCTTTTGCCTTTGGTGCTACGCGTTGAAAGAAGGAAGTCGACTTTATGCGATCTAAGTCACCTTGCGTTCTTTTTAGAACAGAATCGACACCAGTTGTTAGATCTTTAAACTTAGACCATTCTTCGTTCTCCTTAACTGATCCTTCGCCACTCTCTGTTTGTTGCTGTTGATGTTCTCTTCTGTATTTTTCTAACTCCTCTTCTGTGAAAAGTTCCTCCTCGCCTTTGCGTTTCGACTTTTTTCCCTTTTTCTTCTTTTTAAGGCCTTTGGGTAACTTTAGCATTATACGAGATTGCAAGTTGTTCCTTGTATTGCTGAAACCAAAATTAAAAAATTGTTTTTAGTTGAATAAAATTGATTGAATGATATTTAATATAAAAATACAGCTCTACACAGTATCAATAATGGATTGTGATCTGGCAGATATTAAGTTGAATTTACAGAAATCAAAACGAATGACTTGTGTCTTTTAATATCTTATATTGAGCATACCAGGCAAAAGAATCAAAATGTAAATGTAATCTCCTTCTTGTTTTATTTTGCTATCTGATTCTATTTGTTTTATTTTACATGTCGTAATTATTCAGAATTATTGCTTGATTCTTTGTCATTTAAGAATGTACTAAAGGAATATATATCGATGTTTATGTATAGTGTTTAAAAAAAACCATTTATGTACAGCCCTTTAAGATGCTCATAAATTCGTTAGACATTTATAATATTTTTTAGGTATTTCTCCTGCATCTTCTTACAATTCAAGAAATTAGTCAGGATATTTTAGATAAATTGTGTAAAAACAGTATTTGTAAAACTATTCTCACGAATTATTACGAATATAACATTTTAATACTGAAACGCGTATGATCTGATTTATTGATCGTACAATTTTACTTGCTCTTTTACTCACTGACATCTACCTCGTAAGTCTGAGTGGGTGGTATTTCCTTAAAAAAATATGTTTCCGATTCCAGTGATCACAAAAATACTGAACTTTTACGTAATCTAATTTAGTACATACATAATTTCAAATTAAAAAAAAATCTATGCACAAATAAATTTATAGATGTTTTCTTTAGAGTGCACTGGTTTGGTAAAATTATCACGATTTTTAATCAATTATACACACTTGAAATGTAACGTCTTAAAATACGTTTGATTTTTAATAGGCACTGATATTAAAAAAAAAAACTACCTACTAAAAGGCTACGTTGCAGACAACAAATTGCTGAGGTATGAACAACAATCGATAGGTGAATGAAGTTATAGGTACAATGTAGGTATGTGATATGATCGACCGCCCAATGCTATACGGTCCGACACCATCGAATGACTGTCAACTGCGGCTGATGATGTGCAATGAGAGGGAAACTCGATGATGAGTGGGGCGAGGCCGCGCAGGCCGAAGGCAAGGGGTGTGAACAAATGTCTGGGGGCGAGAATGGAGGCGGAGACGGCGGTACAGACACACATAGCGGACAGCTAAGGACACGTACCGGGCCGACTGCAGCCACCGCTACTTACAGCTAAATCATACCACTAACGCGCTACAGAGGACGGGCAAAGGGTCTCTCTACCTTCATCGCAACAATTGCAAAGACGCGGCGGTCGGTGGTCTGTTCGCGAACTCGAGCGGCAGTCGCTCAGGGCGCCTGCTGCAGGCACTGGTGTGCCTCTAAGCAGAGACGGCGCAGCCGCCAACCGCAGTATTGATCTGCGCGACCCGCTGCGCACTCCTCCACAATCCGCACATGTATTGCACAGCACAGCTGCCGAAGTTGGTTGCACACTGTGCCTCCAGCAGCCATTATGCTCTTGAACTATGACCTATTTCTCGTGACTTTTTATAATCGACTATAGTATTGGCATCCAAGATTTGAATAAATGAGAATGCAGCTATGAAAATTTTATCCTCGTTTTTATATAATAGCTACACTTAGCTATTAGCTATAGAGGATTTGCCTGGCCAATGAATGTAATGAGATTTTCGTTTAGTTAAGCGATCATAAGAATATTCTATGATCTTACTGTGTAGTGAATATCGTCGGAATGACATGGTTAATTGGTAACAAAACAGAGTGTTTATCAGGTAACTGATCATTCTGGGAAATGGTTTTCTTAATTTATTGTTCTACTAGCAATTTTATTATACACAAGCTGTGCCCTCGGTTTCACCCGCGTTAAATATCAATGTAAATATCAGCCTGTGTTTTATTACTTACATAACACATAGACTTCTGATGTATAAGCTGTATTACTGTAAAGTTTCATCAAAATCGATTTAGTAGTTATCGCGTGAAAGAGTAACAAACATCCATCCAAACTCACAAACTTTCGCGTTTATAATATTAATAAGATATATACTTTATGTACCCGCAACTTCGTGGATATAACCCTCTTTTTTATTAAAAGTAAAAGAAATAAAAGTACCCTAAATTACTCTTTACAATTACAGCTATGCAAGTAAAGTCGAAATCGGTTCAGCCGTTTTAGAGATTAGCAAGATCAAATAGACAAACGGTAGAAATGGTATGATAAATCTTCTCATGTACATAAAAAGCAGGCAAGATATGCTCTGCCTCAGTAATATTTATTTCTTGCCTTAATTTTGCCTGTTGTTTGACAGGCATCTGTGTGGGACCTCAAATCTGGTTCACATATATCACCCATCTAGTAGCTTGCTTTGTAATAATGTTTCTGTTGAAGGAAGAGTGAAATTACAGAATATGGAGGCATGACATGTTAGTCTTCCGGAATAATAAAGCATGACTGGTATCATTTGACGGCTTCTGTGGTTTAGCGGTATAGGACACCGCTTTTCTTCCGATAGTCGCGGGTTCGACTCGCACGGTACAAATATATGTATTCATGACAATGATTGTTTTATCAGTCTGGGTGTTTTCTATGTGTACTATGTATGTATTTACAAAAAAACAAGTATTTACATCACTTGTCTAGCACCTATAACATAAGCTTTGCTTGTCTTGGGAATAGATGACATTGGGTGATTGTCCTAGAAGTATTATTATTATTATTATTATGAATTGCAATAAAAAAAATCGTCAGGCCTCTCTACCATGTAATGCAGTGTTTCAGTGTCTTATGCACTTTAATCGAAACAAATTTCACGTTCGAGATTACCACGAAGACGTCTTTATATAAAGTCTACGTAATTTCAATATAGTTTTTTTATATGCAGTGGACTAGAGAGAACGTGGATAGTTACGTAAATAATCAGTTCTATTGTATTTCTTTATTTCTACTTTTTAAACCTTAATAATGAATTAATATCTAATTGTTATTCGCTCTAAATTGCGCTTCCACAGGATTGATATTAAAATTACAAGAAATTTCGTATTTTTTAATTCGCGTTTTTTATTGCGGCCATGTTTTATAGCACCTGTAGGTACACATCTGGATTTCAGCTTGTAAGGAACAAAATTTCTATTTACTTTTTATATCAATGAAAGTTGTCTATTATTTTTCTGGAAATCGAAACGACAGATCAAATTCAACGCTTCAAACTTGATCCTACTCATAAAAGTGTATTACATGTAATACGTAATTTTATATTTGTTTCCACCCCATATATTAAATGCAGTGAACATTATAAAGAAGTCTTAGGATAGTGGCAGGATTTTTCTTACGTATTATTCTGAAGCAAACAAACTTAAAAGTGGCGACATCTATTATGCCACTGTTTAGTTTTATTGCAATGAAATATGAGATTGACAAAACAAAATAAACATAATTTGTTTAATGTGCACTGTTTCGTTTTATTTCGACTTTTATAAAACCAACTTCCATAACCTGTCTACAAGACTTGTAAATATTTTTGATTTATGAATCACACAACAGACCACATTTATTATCTAGTATTCTAAAATCAACCGTGAACCTTGCATGAAACGGAACGCGGATAAAAAAAACAAATAGCGACGTTTTCGCACCCTGGTGGCAGACATACGGTACTAATTTGTCAAAATAGGCTACAATACGATAAAATTATGTCGGTCATGTCAGCAATGGGAACAATATCGGACTTCTCACTCTAACATATCGACTCTATTATATTACGTTGCACTCTATTTTTGACCAGACACCTCATATTTATTTCCTTTCATTATAACCGCAAGGCTACGTCGAATGAGTACGTCGTCGCTTGTTAGTAATTCGTGTCGTTTTATTAAATAAATATTTTGAATTTAATAGAATATTGTGGATAAACGGGAAAATGTTCGATACCATTACGGTTATCGCGACCCGATCCAGGTGAAACGCGATTAGTGACGAAATAAAGGGAAACGTGGTGCGTTTTGTCGCGGTAGGTGTCGTTTGTTATCAAACAGCGAGGCCGCGAGGTGAGGGCTATGGCGGAGGCGGCGCCCGGGAACATCGTGAAGGAGGGCTGGCTGCAGAAGCGCGGCGAACACATCAGGAACTGGCGCGACCGCTACTTCATACTCTTCGACAACGGCGACTTGGTGGGTTTCAAGACGCAGCCAGAACGGAACAACTACCGTGACCCCCTGAACAAATTCACGGTCCGCGACTGCCAGATCATGGCTGTGGACAAGCCGCGGCCGTACACCTTCACCATCCGCGGTTTACAGTGGACCACTGTTATTGAACGCAACTTCTCAGTTGACACAGAGAAAGAACGGTCAGTACTAGTCATGTTCTTCCTTTTCTTCTCAATAATTAACTATATACATATATTTCTATTCAGTTTGACCTGTCTATTGATTTTGTTGATCTTATAACATAGTACATGTTACCAAAAAGTTTGTAATGTTTTACTATTCTTTCTACTTAACAAAACATTATGGAAAATCGTTGATTATCGTTGTTGCATATAGTTTTCCCTTAAAAATGACACTAAATACTATTCATTTTATGTAACATTTAATATAATCAGTACAATGTTAGTTTCCATGAAATACACTACATATTATTTAAATATTACTCTGGAATCCATTTATTGTGACATAATGTTTGATAGCTTCATCTGTATAACAGTTTAGTATACCAACTTTCTTCCAAGGAGTGTGGGTTTGATTCCTCACATAGTGCAAATATTTGTATTTATGAGTATAATTGTTTGTACTGATCTGTTTTTTTAAAAGATGATAATGGCACGCCATAGTCTGTTTGTGGTTACGGTTTACATTGGCACTTGGCACCAGTGAAAGACGATAAAATGAGATTGAAGTCAGGTCAGGTCACTTAGCCCATCATGGCAAATTTAGAAGGAATTAATCACTATGGTATCTAAGTGCAACTGCATGGAGGTCTACCTGATATAGTAGCAATGAGGTCATGAATCCTCATTATTAACAATGTACTTCCCCCTATTAGTGTTCTTTTTTTATGGATGATAATGGAATGGTGCACATGCCTGCACAGACATTTTATGCTGGCGGGGCACACCAAGAATTACAGACCCTTATGATATGTCAAATCTACCGTTACTTTAGAATGATCTAGAGATGAGAAGAACAGACAAGAAATTCAGCTCGTATTCTTTTCAAATAAATGTTGTACATGTTTTACAATAGTACAGATTCATTTAAATTCTAATTTAGGATAATAGAGGGACTGAGTGTTATGCTGATGTATAAGCTATATTACTGTAGTTTCATAAAAAATTTGTTCAGTAGTTTTAACATGAAATATTAATAAGATTATGTCCTTAGAATTGATTTCCAAATCAGAATGTTGTATATTGTAGCTTATTTTTCGAATTTATTATCTCATCTGGCCCAATATGCTGGTAGTTTGTCTAGTAATGTTTTCCAACAAACTGCATCCAAATTAGTTAAGCCTTTTCTGATATTAGTATACAAACAGACAAAAATTCTCTTTTTTTCTTATATATCCTTCATGTGCAGTGTGTAACCAGTTGTTTTTATTATATTTGTATTTGATACAACCAAATAATCGAGAGGTAGACAAAAAAAATCTGGCTCGGTTCTGCCTATGCCTACTGTCTCACCTATTGCAGTCGCTAAACAATTTTGTTAGTGAACTGTTTCAGTTGTAGAGTGCAGGTTAGGCAGGAAAATTATAGGGTAATATACAACCTTGTTTAATTCCTACATTGTGGTTTTAGAATTAAAGTTAGTAATCTTATTAATATTACTAGCTGCGCCTGCGACTTCATCCGTGTCGAATTTAACTTTATTTTTCTAAAACAAAAGTAGCCTAAGTTACTCCTTATTACATCAGCTATCTGCCAATAAAAGTCCCGTCAAAATCGGTTTAGCCATTTCAGAGATTAGCTGGAACAAACAGACAGACAGACAAAAAATTTAAAAAATGTTGTTTTGGTGTAATTACTGTATTTATATTCAAATGCATGTAGTAAAAAATGGTTATTTCAATATTACAAACAGACACTCCAATTTTATTTATATGTATGTATAGATAAATGCGAAAGTTTGTGAGTATGGATGGAGTAGGTATAGTTTATTTCTCTTTCATGCAAAAATTACTGAATGGATTATTATGAAACTATACAGTAATATAGCTTCTACATCAGAATAATATATAGGCTCTAAATTTCATGCGCAGGTAATGATTTCATGTATATATGTGATGGTTATCAGTTGTTTGTCTTTCTATTTACATTATTACAATTTTGAGCTTTTTGTTAATGATATTTTTGTTTCTTTTAGCTGGAACTTAAGAGCATTAAAAGAATTAAGCAAATATAGAATCCCTTAATAGTAAGAGATAACATATACTGATAATTATATATTTGTTATGGCTGTTCAGTGTTAATTATATATGTAACTAGAGCAGGAAATTGTATTTATATTTAATTGTCTTTGTAAAACAAACCAGGAAAATATGAAAAAAATATTCTGTAATGTGAAAACCAATTTGTTTACATAAGGTCATCAAAATATCTTTACCTTATTTGGGTTTTGTGGTAGTTAGTTCCCTATTAAGGCATTGTGGATTATGGCTAATGTTTTTTATGGAATAATACTAGCTGTTCCCACAATTTTGTCTGCATGGAATTTGAATTTAACTTTATTTATCTAAAATAAAAGTAGCCTAAGTTACTCCTAAAAGGGTCAGCACAATAGATCTATATAGGTTGCAGTGCTACAGGTGCTGCAAACATCTGACAATAGCTCAAACAAACAAATAAAAAAAAATAGGGTACTGTTTATTACATCGGTCCAACCATTACAAAGATTAGCTGGAACAAACCTACAGACAGACAAAAATTGTAGAAAATGTTATTTTGGTGTGTATGTACTGTATTTATATTCATATGCAGGTAGTAAAAAACGGTTATTTCAATATTACAAACAGACACTCCAATTTTATTTATATGTATGGATGTATAAATAATAGCCTGTGGTTTATTCCTGGTTAATTGGCTATGATCACTAATTGATGTACTGTCATGCTGAAACAGCTTTACTGTTTTTTTATGAAATTTTGTATACATTTCGGGTAGGGCTGAGAACCGGCCAACAATTTATTTTTTATAGCCCTCAATGGTAAGGGTGGCCCACCCCTAAATGCCTTTTTTATTTTTTTGCTAATTTTTTTTCATAATTTTGCATGAAAAAATACACAATGCAATCCCAAATGTTCACCAGAAGGGTGACCATCAACCCCTATTTTTAATAGCGAAATTATATGGCGATTTCAAACAATGTGTACAGATCATCTAGTAAATAAAGAAAATTAACATTAGAAGGTACTTAAAATTAAGTTTATTTCAATGTAGGACTCCAATTTCAGAATGAAAGTGTAGTATATATTTACTGATTTTGTTTGCTACTTTGACTGTATATAGTACCATCAATTGATGGAAGGAGATTTTATTAATTGGCACCAGGGACTTGATTGCTGGCAATGTACCATATCATGGCAACACTCATCTCCATCCTTAAAACTTTTTGAGAGCTATGAGAACCTTTCAACTGTTAGCTGTCAAAATCTGTGAGACCAATTACAGGACTTTTCCTGCTTGCCACCATAGTTGTATAAAAAGAAAATCTTCACTGATGGAGGTTTGGGCCCATCTGTGAAGCATCCAATAATTTTTGAAGGTGAGATTAAAATCATTATTTTATGCTTCACAGATGAGGCTGTAGTGTCCGAGTACAATAATTGGTTCCTTCGCAGACGATAGGATAATATGATGTGATTATAATATAATTATGCCTATGGATAATATAAACTTCAATCGCTATTATTATAATATTAAATTAAATAAGGCATTAATATATCATTTCCTATCCATAGTTATTGACAAGGATGTTGTCCATACTAACCAAGATTGATTTTGATAAATTACTAATACATAAATAACATAATTATGAAACTTTGTAATAAACCTATTTTGTGCGATGTTAATGTGATTAATGATATTTTAAGTATAGCTAGTTAGAGATCTTATATGTACTTAAGGTATATATTGCTGATTAGATTTTTACTAGTGATCTGGCTTTGGCTGTTGCATTTCTTATATCACACATCAGGATCACATTTTTTGTTTATTCAAATAAATCTCAGTTGTGTACTGATAATGAAGGTCTGTAGGTGAAATAATTTAAATTAGTTATTTAGATTTATATAAAGTTAAAAATTTTGTCCTGTTTTTACCTGTGATGAAGGAAAATATATACTGCTTTTGTTTCCAAGCCTCTAACCGAGTATAGGTGCAGATATAGATTATTATTAGTGGACCAGGGATGCAACTGCTGGCAATGTACCATATCAGGTCAATCTTAGTGAATTCATGCCATAGGCTAACATAATTTTATGCCTACTGGTGAACCACTGGTGTATACTGTTAGCGCAGATGGATGCACCATTCCATTATCACCCATTATAAAAATGTCTCTAACTACATTGAGTTACTAGTCCCTATCTTCCTTCAAGTATGGAAGTCCTCATTACCCATATCCAATAACCAGGACAGGGAGCTTCCGATATAGTCCCCATTACTAATTATTCGGGCCCCGGGGAAGGGGATTGTTAGTAATGGGGACTAGTGACCCAATTGCTAGCAATGTACAATGTTAGGTCGACCTCCACGCGGGATCCCCTGGCAACCATCGTGTATATTTCTGGTAATTTAATCACAATGCGTTAACTAATCTGATCTCATGGTCATTTCATCCTCCATTCGTGGCCCAGTGTATACTTTTAGCGCAGGAGGGTCCAACATTCCAATATAATTTTTCTAAGAATTATTATAGAATGGTTCACCCGCCTGCGCTAACGGTTTACGCTGGCGGAGTTCCAGTAGAGGATGATAAGATGAACATGAGGTCAGGACAGAACCCATCATAACAAATTCACCAGGAATTTATCACGATGTTTTTCACGGAAACCGCGTGGAGGTAGGTTACATGGTACATTGCTAGAATAGGGGATATTAGTCCACATTACTAACAATCCACTTTCCCCCAATATCAACCATTAAACATTCCGCTACCGTCTGTGATGCAGTGAGGAGTGGGTGGCAGCGATCCGCTTCGTATCCGGCCAGCTGAGTACAGGCGCTGCGGGCGCCAGCGCCGGCGGCAACGCAGCATCATCAGCACCTTCGGAGACTGATGACCATGATATCGCACAGCTCGGCACCAGCTTCCGTGACCCTCGCCGTATTGTAAGTTACCCTTTACTGCTATATTTGACAGCCTTAGTGGTTTAGCACACCGCTTTACTTCCAATAGTCGCGAGTTCGACTCTTCGGACGATACAAATATTTGTATTCATTAGTATGATTTTTTGTATCCGTCTGGTGTTTTCTTTGTATATTATGTATGTGTAATATTTATGAAAAAAATCTAAGTATTTAGAGCATCCAGTAGTCTAGTATCCATAACACAGTTAAAGCCTGAGGGTAAGTGGTATCCGTCACCTATATACATACATAAAAGCACTGCGGACATCACATTATCATGTGACAGCCATGATACCACTCATGCATTGCCATTCCAGATTACTAAGATGTCATGTTTTTTATATTTTAGTGCATAAAATTTGCATTCTACAACCGAACCCTGGTACTTGAATTAGGTGAGACTAAGGACTTTTTGATCTACCTTTTGATAAATTACACTACCAGTATACTTGGTGTATACTGGTAGTGTAATTTATCAAATTACACTATCAATGCTGGTGGTTGCATTTCTCCTTGGGCCTTAAGTGAAGGACATTTTAATAAGATTTAATAAAATCAATGATAGAAATTATTACGGGCCTAATCTTTGTATTCAAGGTATATTGTCACACTTGATTAAAAACCGACACTTTTATGCATTTGAAAGGAGTATCAGCGTTTAGAAATTTTTTTTCGACCTGTTCTACGAGAGAGGGCTAATGCAGATGGCAATTTAGACCCACGGAAGGAGATATGCAGCGGCTGAAGGTCAACTTCTGCTACGAATACGGCTTTAGTCTGAAACCACCACTAGGGTTCAAATATAGGCTTAAGCCATCGTAATGTCGATCCTCGTTTGAATCGGACGGGGGATCAGTCTGAGAGGGGAGGGGGAGACAGTCTGCTACGCAGTGCTTTATTGCGACGCAGTTTGGTATATCGCACCTCTATATCTACTTATATCTTATTAATATTATAAACGGGAAAGTTTGTGAGTATGGATGGATGTTTGTTACTCTTTTACGCAAAAACTACTAAACGGATTTTTATGAAACTACAGTAATTTAGCTTATACATCAGAATGACATGGCTATAAATTTTATTCGGATGAAACCGTGGGCACAGTTAGAGTAGTTATAGGTACATGCACATCTTAAATAGTATAAAACAAAGTTACTGTCTCTGTCTTTTCACTTACATCTTTTAAATTACGCAACGGATTCTAAAGCAGTTGTAGATAGAGTAATTCAAGAGGAACATTTATATGTATAATACATGCGTGTTATAGTATAGTCGAAGCAGAGATGTTCAGAGATTTTAATGCATCTGTGCGAAGCCGGGACGGTCGATGTTTCAGTTTCAATTTACATTTAAGTGTCCCAGGTAACTAGGTCAAGATTTTTCATTATGTTACTAATTTTACTTACTTTTGTTAACTTTGGCGTCACTATCTGTCTCGCTCACTCATGGCAAACATGTCCGCTATCCATCTTTCTCATCATTTTGGCGTAAAAATGATGAGAAAGATGGATAGCGGATTCGGGTTACTTGAGGTTTTTATTTTTTACACGTTTTTTAGTATGAAACTAATAAGTACATTCCTGATTAAATGTGCGAACTTTGAATGGCACTTGCCAAGGCATTTTAGTTCATTTTTTTTTAAAGCAGAACCTTTCAAAGTCGACATATTTTGAAATTTAGAAATAATTTATTATATATTCATATGATAAATTATTATTATTATTATATATTAAATTCATAGTTTAACAAATAGTCTTAATTCTAGAAAATTTGGGACGATTGTGTCTTTATTTATGTCTGCGATTCTAGAAATGTTATTTAGGGTTACGGTTCTAAAATTTATATGAATAAAAATTATAAATAATAACCACTATAACCGAAAAATGGTTAAAGTTTGACCAAATTTCTAGGTTTTAAATGCCCATAATTTTCAAACTACATGGGATAGATTTTTTTATTATTTTTCTCAGGATGGTTACAATCAATCCTGTCACCCCGTTTCGGCTTGACGTTAAGTTCTGGGACACCCTATATAACAGAAATAAGAAGAATCTATATAAAGTAATAACACCTACCCTCAAGTAGTTACACCCTATCCAAGAAATCTATGCTATAAGCAATGATGTTTTTCAATTATCTACCAAGAGAATTATATTCTTGAATAAATTAAGCTGATTTAGCAAAAAAGTTTTGTCATAATTCTTAGAAAAATGTCGTAGACAATTATAAATTGTATTGTTATCTAAAATTAAGTTATTAATGTTATTTAGTATATTATAGTAGTTACTCGCCCCGGCTTCCTCTAGAATCACTATCTATTAGAATAAGCCGTATCAAAATCTGTTGCGTAGTTTTAAAGATTTAAGCATACATAGGGACGGACAGATAGCGAGAGCGACTTTGTTTTTTACTATGTAATGATGACATTGTTTAGTATAATATATATTTAATGAAATGAAATGAAAATTTATATTTAACTGTAAATAACCAAACACAATGGTGTTTGGTTTATGTTGTTTACAATTAAATATAAATTTTGTTTATAAATAAACATTGTATGTAAATAAATAAAATAAATCATCAATTGTGATAAATAGAATCACCAACAATAAGTTAACGGTCTACATAAGAGGGAAAAGGGATTGTTAGTAATATATTATGTATACCATATTATTTATCACAATGAGCTAACTGCTGATGATCTTATTGCTAGCAATGTACCATGTCAGGTCGACCTCCACGCTGTTCCCCTCGTGAAATTTATAGCCTATATATTATTCTGATGTATAAACTATATCACTGTAAAGTTTCATCAAAATCCGTTCAGTAGTTTTTGCGTGAAAGAGTAACAAAAATCCATCCATACTCACAAACTATCGCTTTTATAATATTAATAAGATAATAATAGCAATATATTGAATCCCAGTTTAAATCTAAATGCGGTTGGCATACATATCACAAACGGACAAACAAATGGGTTTAATTTAAAAACCTATCAGTGTGACGTACGCATGCAAACAACAAATTACTAACCGAAAACATGTTTGTAACAACAAAATAATTATTATGGAAACTGAAAACAGGAAAACGGCATGTGCGTGACTCACTAGAATAGGTTTTTTTTACAAGTTTTTGTAGTAGATAATTGAAAAAATCAATTAAACAATGGGTACGCTATATTGTTTAATTGTTTTTCTTCTACAATATGTATATAGAGCTAACTTATAGTACATACAAAATATTTTAAATAATCTACTAATATTATAAATGCGAAATTTGTTCGTTTTAGGTCTAGTCTTAGGTGGGAGAAACTGATAGGAATTTTTTTATGGATCATTATGGAATGGTACACCCGCCTGCGCTAACGGTTTACGCTGGCGGGGCACCAGTGAAGGATAATAAGATGAGCATGACGTCAGGTCAGTTGGCCCATCGTGACAAATTGACCAGGAATTTATGACGATAGTTTCCAGGGGGAACCGCGTGGAGGTCGACCTGACATGGTACATTGCTAGCAATGGTAACCCCATTCCACATTACTAACAATACCCTTCCCCCAACTGATAGGGATAGGTGACGTTAGGTTGTAAGTATATGCGTAAGTAAGTAGTATATGCGCATTGATTATATTGTACTAACTTACTACTTAAGGCCTTGGTTAGAAGTATTAGGCACCCCAGAAAAATGCACAATTCATGTTTACCAATTGAACAATTAATAAATGCTTATCGTAGATGGCACGCCGGGGTCACAATTAACTTCCTAGAAAAGCAAGCATCTAAAGCAAAACATTGCTCGCCCGACATCTCGTATCTCAAAACACTCGTATGTTGGGGCAGCCGTAGTAGGGTAGTATCGCAGTGTGGACCCTCACTGGACGCTGCTTAAGCTTCAGCAACAATCTGTAATTTTACCAAGGAGAAGAGGAAACGCAGCGAAAGTATACAGATATTCTGAGGAGATAAAAACCATCACTCCTAAGAATATCTTTCAATTCTTGTCCCTGACGGCTCTAGGTAGCGAACTAGGTAGTGACCGAAAAGGGCGAGCACAAGAGATCATGTAGATCGCAGTGCTACAGGTCTTAACACCTGACAATAGCCCAAAACCCGGTCGTATATCGACGTACCATTGTATATTATAACTGAAAATATTTTGTCCTCAGACATTGGAGAAATTCGAGTTCGTAAAGGTGCTCGGCAAGGGTACGTTTGGCAAAGTTGTACTGAGCCGAGAGAAGGGCACAGGGAAGCTATACGCGATGAAGATCCTCAAGAAGAACGTCATCATACAGAAGGACGAGGTCGCCCACACCATCACAGAGAACCACGTGCTCAAGAAAGCTAAACACCCGTTCCTTACTGTAATTTTTATAACCATTATTCAACTTGCCTTGTATTTATTACATTAAACTTCTATATCCAATGAATTATTTTATAACAAATTGCATATTTATAAAAAAATTTAGCATAATGTACTTCTGTTGTTTAAAAGAAGACGATTCAATGTATATTAAAAAAAACAAACAATATGTAATTTTGACTTTAATGGTATTTTGTATTTTGTACATATATATGTATTTACAAAATATCTATAGTTCTCTTGTTATATCCCTTTCCAAAAATGACAATGTACCGCTATTTTTAGTAAGTTATAATGTCCTTGTGACACACGCTTCACTTCGATGGTCGCGAGTTCAATTCTTCGCACATTACAAACATTTGTTTTCATAAGTATGATTGTTTGTTTCAGACATTTAGAAAATAAAATGTATTTACGTAATTCTATAATTTGTGTAGCCCCCATAACATAATCTATACTATCTTAGGACTAATGGCATTGTGTGAATTGTCCTAAATTTTATTATTGTGTTAAATATGGCTCTCGCCATTAAAGTACCTAACAAAACCTAAAAAAATAAATTATCTAAGTACTAACTACGATACTTAATATCCATAAGAAAATTCATACTCGAAAGTAGTCACAAAAAATAACATAAAGATACAGGGTGATGCGAAAAGTAGAAAAATTCGGTAAATACTATTGTTCTGACCAATTTTATGTTGTTCCGTGCACAGGCGCTGCGGTACTCGTTCCAGACGGCAGACCGCGTGTGCTTCGTGATGGAGTACGCCAACGGTGGCGAACTTTTCTTCCACTTGTCTCGAGAACGGTCATTCACTGAAGAGCGCACGCGGTTCTACGGCGCCGAGATCGTGTCCGCGCTGGGATACTTGCACTCAGAGGGCATTATCTACCGCGACCTCAAGCTCGAGAATTTACTGCTAGACAAGGATGGACATATTAAGATTGCAGATTTCGGACTGTGCAAGGTGAGATAGCGCTACTCTTTATACTCGCCGATCCTTTTTTGACTATATTAATATAATGCTAGTCAAGTGGAGCGGGTAACTGCTAAGAAATACGACTGAACCGCGTGGAGAAAAATTTTTATCTATGTGCCACATAGATAAAAAGTTTTATATTTCCAAATTTATAATCTCTTCTGCAAAACTCATGCCGGGTTTTGTCTGCAGGCATATTCTTATTTACTTTCTTTACTTCCATCTACTACAATGTTCTTACATTGTAGTAGATGATATCCGTGATTTTGCATACTTAAAGCGTTATGGTCAAACCCACTCGTTACATCTTTCTCCATTGTGATGTGATTACTTCTAATGGTAATTTACAGCAGTCTGCTTGTGATTGGACCTTGGAGTCTAGGCGAAACTTCAACCATGCTACTATATTTATAAGTTATTCGTAACTTCAATTTTAATTATTGTATTAAACTTTGATATAAGCTGATGGTCTACCTGATATGTAGTTGCTTTCGTTTACATACATACCTGGACAACACCATCATGGTTTATTTTTTATATTGCCACTGTAGTGTTAAACCTAAAGTCCTTTACCTCCGTGTCCTGTAATGAATACAGAGAGAATAGAGACAGAAATAAGTGAGACAGAGGTACCCATGTAGATTTGTACCCAAGTCGGTAACTATCATCGTAATTTGCAAGCTTAAAAGTAAACTAAATTAGCTCAAATAAAGGACTTAGGAAAATCAACCTTACAGTTATACGTTTAAAGTCGAATTTCCCAGTTTTATACGCTTGTTGTACTAAGTCTACTTCGGTAACTATCACCGTAATTTAAAGCTTAATAGTAATCTGCATAACCCAAATAAAAGAACTTTGGGAAAATCTACCTTGAGTTCATACGTTTAAAGTCGATGTTCCCTATTTTATACGGTAAGATTACAGGCTTGCTATTGTCGCTTGCAGGTGAACATTACGTATGGACGCACAACGAAGACGTTCTGCGGGACGCCCGAGTACCTCGCGCCCGAAGTACTCGAGGACACAGACTACGGGCCCGCCGTCGATTGGTGTGTATTCTCCCCCTCCTCCCACTCTCCTTACCGCCCGTCACACACCTTCCCCGGTCGTCTCCTATACCCGTTCGTGACTCATTCCCCCACACTTCCTCCCGCCCTTCACCAACTCCAGAGTGTTCGTGTAAAGAATAAAAAAATCATAGAAAAGCATCATAAATGTATCTATTTTATAAAAGTAGCAATAAGTGTTAGTGAATATGGTGAGTTTGACGTGTGTGAAGAATGTTAATACATGACGATTAATATAGTTACTTGTTATACTAGTAAGGCATAAGGCATGAAAGTATTTTTTTTGTATATTTGTCTGTAAGTATATATGTTTATGACAAGTGTGACGAGAAAAAAAATCTTAAAATACAAAGGGTGAAAGAATCGGTGAGCGTGATAAATTTAACAAATGTAATGAACGGACAAGTGTGCCGAATGTGGCGAGCGTGACGAGTGTTCGGCTGCAGGCGGGTCACGATCGTGGTGCCCGTACAAGGTTACATGTAACAAATATTGGCCAACCCACAAGTTTGAGGATCGCGGCGAGCGTGACGAGCGTGACGAGCGTGACGGGGCGTTCTGCCGCAGGTGGGGCACGGGCGTGGTGCTGTACGAGATGGCGTGCGGGCGGCTGCCGTTCTACAACCGCGACCACGAGGTGCTGTTCTCCCTGATCCTGTCGGAGGAGGTCCGGTTCCCGCGCGCGCTGTCGGCCGCGTGCCGGGCGCTGCTGGCCGGGCTGCTCACCAAGGAGCCCGCCAAGCGGCTCGGCGCGGGGCCCGACGACGCCATGGAGATCATGCACCACCCGTTCTTCGCCTCCATCAACTGGGCCGACCTCGTCGCCAAGCGGGTCGGTCACGCTTATACTAATTAGCCATAGCCATTCGCTCCGTTTACAGTATAGGTTCCAGGGAGACTCCCCGGAACCTCACGAGAGTTGTTTGAGGTATCTAATATCCTCACCGTTGCTTTTCAATATATTTATGAAAGTATCATGTATGCCAGGAAGAATATAGACAATATTCTTCATGGCATACACGATATTTTCAAAAGAGAATAGAATAAAATAGGCAACAAATTTGAATAGTCAACAATTTTTTTTATTAAATCTCCCGCTTAATCGGAAAGCTGTCTCATCACAAGAAGAATAAGCAAGAAACTTGTGTGTTACTCTTTTAAACAATCCTTGTAAGTTCTCATTATGCAAGTCGAAACGTGTGAATACAAACTACCAACCAGCAATAATTTATTTAGGCTCAAATATAAAAACACAAACACAATACGATTAAACGATCTGCTCTTATCACTACGACTGCGTAGTGATAAGAGCAGACCAGTCCCTACAAGCAACACCCGTTCACGAGTATGACGGATGAGCCAGCCATCACTACGCTCGACCATATTTTAGGAGTTAGTGATTACACTAAAAAACAATAACAAACTGATTTTACCTAAATGTCGGTTAACTAAAGTTAGTAATTCGTTTTATGGTAATTGCATAAGGTTTTACAACAAAATACCAGAGTCTGTTATAAAACTGCCTAAAAAAAAGATTTACAAATATTGTCTTGATTTGAATTAATTGATTGTCAAATAAAACACTTCCTTCGTAAAAAAACCTATATATAGCCTATAAAATTGAAGAATTCGTTAACGATAATAATGTTTTTATAGAAAAACTTAAAATCCGTAGCGCTGACAATATTGGCTGATTGCACTAATAATGAGTGCGTAGCGATTTCTATGTTTATTATCGCATGTCTCTTGTTATACTGTAATTATATGTATAAAAAAACATCTATTCAAAAGAGCAACACACAAGCTTCTTGCTGATTCTTCTTGTGATGAATCTGCATTCCGAATGAGTGATAGAATCAATATATGACTATTCAAAAGCACTTTAATGAGTTTATTTGAATAAAGATTATTTCTATTTCTATTTCTAATTGAAGTATTATCATCATATTATCAGTCCACATTACTAATAATCCCCTTCTCCCCTTATGCTTATATTAAGTTTATTAGTCAGGTCAGTTAGTCCATCATGGTAAATTCACCATGAATTTATGACGATGGTTTCCAGGGGAAACCGCTACCGGAAGGAGGTTGGAGGTCAACTTAATATGACACATTGGTAGCTAGCTCGGTCCTCTTTTCTAATAATTCTCTTCCCCCTATATTTTTTTTTAATAAAGTATATTTCAATTTCATAATGTCACAATTCTAAATCATTAAACATCGTTATGTACAGGTACCACCGCCGTTCAAGCCCCAGGTGGAGTCAGAGACGGACACTCGGTACTTCGACTCTGAGTTCACGGGCGAGTCGGTCGAACTCACGCCGCCAGAACACGACTCCGCGCTGCAACGCATACAGGAGGAGCAGTTCCCGCAGTTCTCCTACCAGGTAACTGTAGAGCTATTCTGTAAGTCACGAATTCGAAAGCGGAATCCGCGGTGAGATGGTACGTTGGTATTCTGTAAAACTTGATACTGACTGTGCCACATGCTCGAAAGCAAAACAGGCACTAGTGTTTTTTTTTAATATTGGCAAACTCAATAGATCTATCTATGAACTTTATATTTACAAATGGATACGAGTGCCTTGAGTGAAGCGATGAGTGAAATCAATTGATAAAACGCTTACTGATTAGTTTTTATACTACGGTGGTAACAAGAATATGGCCCATTTGATGGTAAATGGTCACCGTAGCTTATGGACGCCTGAGACACCAGGGGTATCACGTGCGCGTTGCCGACCCTTAAGAAACGTTAATATCCAATACTATCTGTGACTGTTTTTATTATCAAAATTATTGTTTTTATTTATGGTCTAATACTACCAAGTGAAGTGATTATACTACTTTCTTTTTTTTTTTGGTTCAGTCCAGGTGATTGATTTTTTATCAAGCTATTTTTTTTACAATTTTTGTTTTACGTTATATCCACAAAATATACAGTATAACGGTTCTACCCAATAGTATGTGATAACCATCGCCTATATACATGAACATCACTGTATGTAATTTCAAATTAACTACTTTTCACTAAATGTATGTAAAAGTCTGTACGGTACTTGCTTAAAAAAAATCGTCTGTTATTAAGGTCTAATTTTTGACCATTGTGTGACCACTAGTTATTATAAAGAAACGAATTGTCCCTTCCAGGATATAAGCTCGTCGGCACACTCCGCACTGTCACACCTGTCACAGTCCGCACTCGCCGACCGTCACCAGTAGCCGGTTGTCACCAAGCAAGAAACATCCTTATGGAGATAGTACCGTGAACACGAAATCGAAACCAATAAATTTGCTCTCATACGACGTTTTTCTTCTAGCGTTGTAAATTCTCGCTTATCAGTGGATAATAAGATCGTCCATCTCTCTTACACGTAACTGTAATGTTGAGATAGAGAATGAGAAGGGCGAATTTATTGGTAACAATTTTTATGTACACGCGTTAAGATCTCTAATTCATTATAAGAGTGTTCCAACCAAAGTTTGGCAACATCTGTATCCTCTGTCAAGTTTCAAAAATAGAACAATGTGTTAGGATCTAAGAAAAAACTGACATAGAATCCTGATTGAAATAGGTACACTGAACCATATATAGTTATCGCATTCTGACTTATGGAGTTAATAATGAGATAGAAGAGTATGTATATACATTGTTCGAAATTTCGAACGTTGTCACTATTGTCAACCGTCATTTGGTTATTTCTGTGTTCTGTCCATCTATACAATTTGTATAGAATAAATTTTTAATTAGACATTTGTATATACGATCTCAAAGGTTCAGTTGTTATTTGAATCAGAATTTCATGTTCTTAGTTTAATTATTTAAAAATTGGCTTTCTATTGCCCTGTAACGTTATAGAACGAGTTGTACATATATCATTAAAATACAACTACCTGTTCCATGTTAGTTTAGGAGTTGTTTCAGTTAAAGGTGGAATTACAGGGTACGGAAGCATGGCACCTTAGTACTCCGGAATGGCAATGAATGATTAGTACCACAGTTGTAATGGCAACGGGATGTTTGTAGTGCTGTTCATGTATAAAATGTCGCCACTTCATTTCCTCATATCAATTCGACGTTCAATTTAAACGGGGATAGAAATTACGACGGCCTGTGCCGAGGTTCGAACCCCTAGCGGTGCCCTCAGACTAAAGGCGTATCTGTCAGGCGGGTGTTACCCTTCAGCTGCTCTATAAGTCCATCTGCGGGGTTAGAGTGCCATCTGCACTCGCCTCCTATCATCCGGTGAAGCTGTAAAGGCCAGCTGCAATCAACAGTATTAGAGTAGTTCGAAAAAAAAATTATACATCAGGTGGTCAGCTATTTGCCATTCCAGTTGCATTAAAAAAAACTATCTAAAGTCTATAATACTATCAAATAAGTTCCAGTGACAGTTTAGTAGTAATTGTATTGCTTTATTATTATTTTAGTTATCTATAAGAGCAGTGTTTTGTAAACAACCCTAAGATATTAGGTACAGTAATGGCCACTGAGTTAATATTGACAAATTATATAGAATTGTCTAATTATAATTAATTATTAGATGTTGCCTTACAAACTCTGAGTGGTAAGATTTGAGTGGTATATTCTCCTAATAGTGTCACAATATTTGTGGTAAATATCGAAGGGGTGAGGTAAATATGTGATTACGCAGTAAGATATAAATACATACAAAAAATGTTCAAATTATATAATCGGGATATCTATCGTGTTTGTTATTTATTAACTCCCGATATATCGATGTTACAAACATTCTGCAGGTCTACTTTGGAGTTTAAACTCAATATTAATTCACGGATATTTTTCTGCTGCTTAGTCAAGTAGTCAAAACTAAACTGAATAATTATTATTCTACTATCGATAATTTTTCTACTGTTCTTTTCAAGTTCTTTCATTAAATATGAATTGTGGAGATATGTTGAAAGGACGCAATTCAAGTATAAAAATATTTAAAACAACTGACCAATCATTGGATCGGAATAGCTTTCCAGAGTAGACCGACCGTTAAGTAACCTAATTAATTGTAAACAATGAAAAAGGTTTAATATTGTGTTAAAACTATTGTACTGAAAACACGATGGAAGTAAGTTCGTGTAATCGTGCTTTAACAATAACAACTCAAATCTTATAAATACTTAGTTACAGTAGGAACACTCTTATAGTTCTGGGCTAGAAGTGCTGATCACCCGGCCCATTGCCACCTAGAACTTAATTATGTAACAGTTACTAATAATTCTCCTTTGAAGCAGTTAAAAATCTACATTTTTGCGATTATATATGGAGCATTTGACAGTTGCAATTGCAAACAGTACTATTTAAAGTACAGTTTATACATACTTACATACTTCTCCAAATGTTTCATAGAAAATCTCAATCATATCGATTTCAGATAGTGAGAATAAAAAAAATTAATAAAGTTACATAACTAAGGATCTATACTAAGCATCATCCGCGCGTAATTATACTTCTGTTGATTATAACCGTCGATTTCCTCTCCCCCCGCCCTATGCCGCACTATCACGTTTAATAATAATAGACATACCATAGATAATACACTAGCATTCCACAGCGTTGCTAGTATTTAAATACAGCGTTTATTAATCGCTCTGATAATGTAAATATCTATGGGTGAAAGATTTTTTTTTAATTAATCAACAAGCAAACATACTAAGTTCAAATATTTCTTCTATATATTATATATAAAATATATGATACGTTTAATATATTTGTTAACTTATGGTAATAAATAATCATAAAGTAACTGATAGTAAAGCTATATAGAGAGAAAAGGCGGTATGCACAACCGTATGGTTTATAAGCGGTTCTGAGATAATGTTTTATAACTTTTTAAATACATGTACGTTACATGGGACTGTATATCGTATAACCTATAAGAATTATGCAAAATACATGATGTTTACATGTAAAGATGCATTTAGACATTTCGACTAACTGATATTGTGTTCCCATATTCCTTCAATTTTTGTATATTTTAAGTTTGCTAAACGCAAAATTTCTGTTTTTGATTCTATTCGCAAATAGTTCTATATCATGTTGTTATAGCCTAATCCTACAAAGGGCGTACTATGAAATTACAAATGTAACGATCGGATCTATATTTGATCTAAATTTACAGTAATTTTACAAATTACAATCAAATACAAAATTCAGTGCTCGCAGAACAAATCAATTCAAATTTAGTAGAAAATCTCGAAAAACTTAAAATTACAGATTTTTCTTATACGAAGCCTCGGTTCTTTTCTATTACCTGTATCATTAATTTGTTGTTTCTTTCCTTCTCAGTACTTAGTTTATTTTCATTTGTTTTTTATGCCACCTTAACTTTACTGTTTGCGGCGGTGGTGTTTAAGACAGAAGGGTGAGGGCGCGGGTGCGAGGCACTCGACCTTGATTACAACGCTCTAATGTATTTTTTTTTGTATATATTAAAATTAGGATTTAAATTTTTCCGTGTTTTATTTACTTACCCTTTTAAGGATTACAATTGCATTTATTAAGTACCCATTCTTTGATTTCTAAATTTGATGCATACCGTATCCAGATATATATATCTTTTTATATTTTATAAAAATACTATTTTTAGGATTTACGAGTATTAAAAATCAACCACTAAGTATTAATTAACAATTTCTTATTTGAAAGTTTCAAGATTATATAAATTGTATCACGTGTACTAACTTGTTAAAAAAATGACTAATAAAATATTGGGCATTCTAGTATGAAACATCATGGTCATGCCTTACCTAACAGTAATTTCATTATTTCACTCTTAACCCAAATACAATTACAAAGCAAACAGTTTCGTTTACTATTGTCTCTCTCTCTCTCTCTATCATAGTACAGACTAAATGAAAAGGTGCGGGTTAAATGAAATCACCTGTATGTCTTATCTCGATATATTTTCAATAAAAAGATAGTAATAATAATTGAGGAGCAGTGGCTTAGCGAGGGCCGAGCGGCCGCCGATCTGACGCTCAGTGGCGTCACGAACTAACTACGCGAAGATATCAAATATCTCAGATAAACTTTAAAAACGTTAACAATAAATCACTAATCAATAAACAAGAGGCGCTTCGGACGGTCGCGTGATCGCGTCGGTGCTCGTCCCAAATACGAATAAATCTGGCCTCACATTGTTAGATTCAGTCGGACGATTGGTCTATGCGACACTCCGATTGGCGTATTTTCAAAGTGGGCGGGGTATAGCGCAAAATGCGCCAATCGAACGGTAGTCGCTTAGGACAATCGGCCGACTGAACCTGACAATATGAGGCTAGGTTAAAATAACAATCGTAATATTACTCGGTGGATATGTTATACGGAGGCGACTGTCTCCCGAAGCGAACGAAATTGAACATCGTTTACTTGTCCATTTTGGTGAATAATCTTGACATGTTTGTATGAGTCTAAACCCAAAAATTATATGTCATGGTCCTGATAGAGGCCACTCTTAAGGTAATGGATTTATTGTAATGCTGTTGACCACCGCTGGAACAACACCTTTATAACGAAAGAAAATGAAAACGAGTGAAAAATTCCATGAAATTATGGATCGACTGAGGCCAAATGCCTGTCAGGAAGTAGTAGGTATGTTTGAGTACGCCACTAGGGTCCGAGCCTAGTGGCGTACTAGGTACTGGCGGTTTAGGCCGTTGTAATTTCGAGGAAAACATAAAAATGGCTCTAATACACTGTTTATTTATTGTTAACAACTGTAATTATTGGTAACAACTGTGTTGTTAAGTGTATTGAAATCAATAAATTGTTTTACTATACTAAAGTTTCAGTAACGTTAATAAATTGAATCGTTTGAAAATAACGGCAATTTGTTGTGAGATATGTCCTAATTATGAAAGTATTCTATTTTTTTTGTGTATAAATAATTAACCATAGACTTTTCCTTATTACATTACTTTTCGTATTAAAATAATTAAATTTAATTAAGATTTTTGTTCGAATATTATTTTATCAACATCGTAGTAAACATGTTAAAATTATTTACCAAACAAGACAAGTTGGAAACAAACATAGTATATATAGTAACAGTGGTGTCCATTACAAGAACTCGTTGCAATCATAATATATAAATACTTATATTTGGTCGTTTGTGTCGAGATCAAAAACAGCGAAAACGAATCGCAGGAAAATATATTGCTTTTTAAATGTGAAATATCAATCTGATATCACTTTTATTACATTATAATATCATTTACATAAGTTTCGTAATAGTTTTCGTACTGTGATAATTCTCTAAGTGGAACTCTGATGTCACGTGACATCAAGATATTGGCGCCTTAAATTTGAAGTGATTTCGTTATTATGTACATTTACTTAATTAGTTTTTCTCATATATATCTATAATTAGAGTTATATGAGTACATTACAATATGATATATGATCTTATAAATATGATAGTTCATTACCTGATAATTGTTTTCAGCTTTGAATAAGTAGGTACTAACCTCTATACAAAATTCACATGTATAGATAATAATGTTCAAGTATTGTTCTGTTCTTTCGAGTAATTTCCTTAATCTTTACATAGTATAAAACAAAGTCGGAGTAGTTGTTTGTTCGCTTGTCTTTTAAAATACTCAGCGGATTTTAATGCAGTTTTCAGCAGAGTTATTTAAGAGGAAGGTTTAAATGTATAATATATGCCTGTTATAGTATAGAATAAGGCGATAAATTCATAGATTGGCTAGGTTATAATATGTAATTAAAATAGATTTGCAGGAGATTTCAGTTGTTTAATAATAAGGGAATTAATTTTTATTTAGTTAAAAGTAGGCACCATAGGTATCATTAGCTTTTCTCCTAATCTGTAAGGCTTCCAATGCCCTAAATAAAAAAAAATGTGAAAGCCTGTGTAAAACAAAACGGTTTATGTATGAAACACTGCTTTTTTTTTAAATTTCATACTTTTAGAACCATTACAAGTTGCAACACAAATTCGATTTTATTTCTATTCTCATAAGGGCCCCAATTCCTATAAAAAGTAGATGTCTATAGATCTAAGTACAGTGGTAAGATAACATTCATTGCTAACATATTTGCTGATAATTATTGCTGATAACAAATTACTCAGGTATACATTTTCTATCGCATATAGCGCCAAGACCTTGACATCAACCGTAACATATCTCTACCATTAGGTAATCGAGCACTTCGCAATGTACAATTACAGCTTCAAATCAGTTCTAAACTGTGTCTCCTACACATGGAAAGCGACACGTCAATACATTGCGTTCTATCTAATAGACTTATTACACTATCATATATATTTCGAGTGCTATATTCAGCTAATGCATTATTAATATTAGTGCAAAGTTAATTATTAGATATAATCAACGAGGATAAAAAACGAATGGACAATGTTATAAAACGCAAAAAATGGCTTGGACCATCAGTCTATGGACAATAAAGGCCTAACTTAAAGAATAAAACATTAATAAGGATTTAAATAATTAACATATATTTGGGTTTAGGTACCCAAATATCTAGGACATAAAAAAAATGACATCTTTCCAAATGATTTATGCAAATTTTAATGATGATCGATTAACCCTTTAAGGCGAAAAGGTGAAAGCAACCAACGTATAAAGTTTTTTTACATACTAAAAATGACTCCGCTCAGCATATTGCTATTTCGTCAGCTCTTGGTGACTTAAACGATCGAATGAAAACTACAATTGTGAATAATATAAGGTTTCAAACTAAGCGATTTAAATCGCGGTCAAAAACCAATATTTTTTATAATTTAGGAATACTCTAAATTTTGTGTTTAGTGAGATTATTTATTATCAGCCTTTATTTAAATATCTAAGACATGATACCTACTATATACATATGATAGCGTAATAAGCCCCAAGAAGCTTATAACTAAATGAAGATTGAGGCGTGAAGAAATTGATATTGATTATGCGTACAACCTATATTGTCTCTCGACATTATTAATTTTCGTCATTAATAGAAAAAATTAAATAAATGACATCTTAAATTCTACAATTACATCACTTGTTCCCTAGGTTACATTCTGTGGCATAACAAAATCGTATGCGTTTTCCTAATAGTACATAACTGATAGAAAATAATATTAAATTACAGCAAGTAATCCTTACATAACTAAATTCTAGTACGAGAAGTCTTTCAAATTCCCGTTGATTGGCATCAATTCTGTATTCTTCATTTAGCTTTAAACTTCTTGTTTCTATCACTCGCGTATTGCTTTTATTCATTACGAATTTAGGTTCAACGCGCACTGTAGAAGTGGCACCGAAGAAATTTCGCTAGTCACAAATTCAAATTCACGCACTACTAAAATAACACAACTCGAGTGTTTAGTTATACCGAAAATCTATTAAATTTACGATATTGTTTTCAATTTTGCTAATATCAGTATAAATCTACCAAGTTTATAATTGTTCGCTGCACTAAAATCTAACGAAATATCTAATTAACGAATCATTGCGGACAAAATAATTAGGCCACGCCGCCGTTTAAAGTTTTGTTTTCATAATAACTAGCCTTATTACAAAGTCCTCTCTGACTTTGTTGAATTCGAACGATCGCTTCGTCGCCTCTTCGCTAGTTCGCGTTGATTTCTAATTTTCCGTGGTAATGTCAATTCCAGCCCACCTCGCTCGTCGATGGAAGCGTAGTGAGCCCGAATAAACATTACATAACGTACATAACTTTATATAAATTAGCGTAACGGTGCCGACAAGCGTTAATGCAGCGTGTCTACTCGCGGGTGCCTACGAGTAAGTGCGGTCGCACACCGTTCGGTTCAGTCGGACGATTCGACAACATCCATAGACAGAATGCGCCAAACGGTATCGCATGGAGCAGTGATTCTCAACCACTGTGCTGCGACACTTTTGTGTGCCATGAAACTAAAAGTGTGGCGGCAAATTTATTAACTTGTCCCTTAATAAACGTTCCTTTATTTTTATTTTAATACGCACATTTAAACGTATCTTCTCTTTGTGTGCCGCCAAATTTTGTTAAAATTGTGGCGCAACAAAAAAAGATTGAGTATCACTGACATAGGCAAACGTCGACTGAACCGTTGTGCGACCACCGTGAGTACATTATCAGTGTGAGTATTTACAGCGAGCGCGGCGCTCGGAAACGTTCATCGACCACATGTCACTCGGGGACGGTCCCCGTGGGAGTGCCCCGTGAAGTGAGAGCGCGGCGCAGTGGGCGAGCGCGGTGGCGACGAGCAGTCGGCAGGCACTGGTGGCGCGGGCGCGGCGCCCGGCGCGCTAGTCGGGCGGCGCGCCGGGCGCCGCCGCGCGCTACACGAAGTCGCGCCGCCGCGCCGCCGCGCCGGCCCCGCTCGCTCCGCTCACTCCGCTCACTCCGCTCACTCCGCTCGCGCTGCCCGCGCTCCCCGCGCTGCCCGCGCTTCCGGCGCTGCCCCCCGGGGGGCTGGAGGGCGCGTCGCCCGGCGTCGTCGGCGTTGGAACCTGCGGCGCCGTACCTTTACTGCGCGCCTACAACAATGTTCATTTATGTTATAATCTGTTTTATATACCATTTTTATTGACTATGTTTTTACACTAACTGTATTGTTTTCACGTAAATGCACTTGAAATAATGATAGAATTGAATACAATATATAGGACGGAAGGTGATTGTTAGTAACGTGGACTAATAGTCATTACTAGCAATATACCATATGAGGTTAAACTTCACGTGGTTCCTCTTGGAAACCAGCGTGGTAAATTCCTAGTGAATTTGTTACAATGGGGTAACTGACCTCATGTTCATCTTATCCACCACTGGTACCCCGCTAGCATAAACCATTAGTGCAGACGAAGGCACCATTCCATCATCATGCATAAAAAAATACAATATATAACCTTCGATCGGCGTTTCGTTCTCGTGAGAGCGGCGATGTCAGTGGGCGGGGCGCGCGTCCGCTCACCGTCCTCCCCTCTCGCCGCCCCCGCGCCCGCCGCCGCCCCGCTGGCGCCCTCGGACGTGTCGGCGCCCAGCCGCGCCGCCAGCATCGTCAGCAGCTCCTCCACGCGGCCCAGCTAACAACAAAATATCAGTTATATAAAGGTAGGTATATAAATACTGATAACACTATGAAAAAAATATTTGTCACAATTATAGATTGTCATAGCAATAGAAGCAACTATTTATTACTTATAAGTAAAATACACATACAACCATAAAATGGTTACTACATATTACCTATACATCAAACTGGTAAGTTTATTATTATTATTTTTTTATGTTAAAATTTGAGCGCGTTTGACCGCAATCTCACCTGATGTTAAGTGACGATGTGGTCTAAGCTGTTACACGCAAGCTAATTAAGATAAAGCAAAAATTATGCATTGTACCTAAATATTTTACATGTATGATGAATTTGCCAGTAGGAAAATGCAAGTGTGTAACAAACAACAACCTTATGTTGAAGACGTTGTACTTCGTTTCGGACATCTCTACGTAATTCTGCTAACGCGGCGTCATGTAAAGCAGCTGTAGATGTAGCGACAGGAGCGGGCGGAGGCTGCAGGGCGGGGGTGGTGGTGGGCGGTCGCCGCTCCTCCAGCTCCTCCTCGATGGTGTCCTGTCGCCCGCTGCCCACGCCAAGCGCACTCGCTGACCGGGTTTTCGCAAAAGACGCCTAAAACACAATATTTGAATAAATAGTAGGTTTCCTTAGTATCCCGTATTTTACTAAGTATCATACAGAAGCATAACGAAATAAGCCCATTATTGAATCATAAAATAATAATTTAATTAATATATATGTATATATTTCAACAAATTAATTAATTATTTATTACTGTAATTTTATTCGCTTCCTACTTTATAATCTCGATTTATATTGCCTTTATATGTCGTGATGTTGAATTTAAAATTATTATTCTGTTATTTGTGAAACCCTGTCAGTAGCATGATTTATAAATTTTGTCAAAATAAATATACAGATAAATTCTATAAATAAATAAGAGAATATACAACAAGATAGAAGAATATACTTATACTACAGGATTGTTTAATAGTAGGAAAAATATATGGATACCTTCAGAGCGAGGACAGAAACGTGAGGAGTGACAGCAGATGCTGTGCTAGCTTCGGACGGGGGGGCGGCGATGGCAGGAGCGGGCCGGTCGCGAGTGCTGAGACTGCGCGCGAACGGGGCCCGCGGCGCATCTCCTCCACCGCCCCCGCTCGCGTCCAGTGACCCCCCGCCCGCCAACAGTCGCCCCCACTTGCCGCGCGCAGCCGCTCCTCCGCCGGTGGACGGCGCGGGCGTGGGGGCCGCAACGGGGGCCGGGGCCGGCGCAGTGCCCGCGGCGGCGGCAGTCTCCCCGCGCTCGGGGTCGGCGGGGGCGGCCCCCAGCGCAGGGGACGCGGATGCCGCACGCGCCGGGGCCGGCCCCGGGGCTGCAGCGACGCTGCGCTCGCGACGGAAACGCGAAAAGATCTTTCGAACTAAATGATCCTGGGCTTGTTCCAGTTGTGGTTCCCGCTTCCTTCGCTCCATTAACTCTCTTTCTCGCCTCACATCTGCAACCTGTGAAAATTAAGGGTGCCTTAGTTGCGCTGGAGTAAAATATTATTAGAATTAATAGACAATTATTTTATTTAAACATTTATGCAGAGTTACCAAGATAGTTAAAACGTTTATTACTACTTTTTAAGAAAAATTTTAAAATGACTACTTAATAAATATTGTATGGAATATTATAATGAGCTAGTCATAACTTTAGACACCCCAAACTTAGCACTTTACTAAGCAGAGTAATGTTATTTGGTTGATTACGAGATACTATGCCGCATAATTCGTGTGGCTATAGTGTTGAAATATTGTTATAATAACAACTATAATTTGAATACGAACCTTGCGAAATATTAATCGGTGTCGAAGATTGTATGTAAGGGTGAGATTTCGCGCAAAACTGTTAGCGAAAGCTTGATAAAAATCAAGCACTTCTAGTAACCGGTCGCGCTTTATTGTGTGCAAATCACAGTAGGTTAGTGCTCGAACGTTAGCCGCCGATTGACCAACCGCGCTGTCCTTCCAGAAGGAATCGCCGAAGACGTCGCCTTTGCCTGCGGTGAACAAGTTATTACATATATACGGGTACTACATGTTCTGCATAAGGTAAGTAAATTATGTCCCAAGTTGGGCGCCAATACAAAAAATTTACTAATAGCTGGTGTTATTTCTCAGGCATTGCCATTCCAGACAACTACGATGTCGTGCCTCTTATCCTGTAATTTCACTGCCTTATTACCCTTGTGGAGTACCGAGTAGCGCGCGGTCAAACGTGACGTCATCGCTAGCGGTTGCGGAGGCAGCGTATCTGAGAGAGCCTCACCGACGCGCAGTAGTCGTCCACACGTCTCTTGCGCCGCTACTGTGATTAATCGTTTCGCGTGACCTACATTATACATATATAGCGATCCAAACATTGTTATAAAATCTATCTTTCCGTTCTGTTATATATACATGTGTGTTAACCTTTTTTCTTCAGTGATCTATGTACTTTATCTAATTTCTAATATACATCTTAAAACTATCAGATTGTTACATTGTACAAAGAGCCACCTAAGTCTCTTCAATATCAAAAGAATCCATTACACTGCATAGTCCTAATCATTTTACACAAAAAGATTGTATATATTTACCTAATATAGCAACGACTTCATCATCCTGTATGACCTCTAGACTCCCGGTGACGATGAAGCAGAGCGAATCGATGGACTCGCCGGTGTGGTACAGCAAGTCTCCAGGCGCCGAGTGCGACATTTGAAAGTGCATGGCGAGCGCCCGCAAACAGCCATCCGACGCGAGTCGAAACGCCGGATGCTCGTTGAACACCTTGCGGTTGAGATGCACGCAGATGTCCGCTTTCATATCTTTGGGACAGTAGTTCAGCACCTGCCGAGGTATATAATATATAAGAATCCAGGACAATTCACAGAGCATCATCTAGTCCCAAGTTAAGCTTTTATTACGGGTACTAGACAATTGATAGATATATTTAAATGTATACGTAATATACTTAAATAACTCCCATACTGATACAAATAATTATGAATGCAATTATTTGCATAATGCAAGATATAGAACTCGCGACGATCGGAAGTAAGGCTGTGTGTCAAACTGCTAGACTACCGATGCCATCGAAGTGGTCTCATCCAATACACGCTAAAATCACCCGATTTCAACTACAGAAGTATGGATATACTGTACATAGCCGTCTTTTATAATAATTAGAACAAATACCTACCAGAGTGATCGCCGCCCTGTTCAATTGACAGAATCTCGAGACTATACGAATATATGTATAAAAAAAAACAGTATTTCTAGTGACTGTGAATAGATTTAAAGGTGATGCGAAACCTAAAAAGAGATGGGCGGACTGTGCGACTGTGTGGAAGGTGAAATATAAAGAAGGTGAACTGAAAATGAAATAGATATAGTGTAAGAGAGTAGCATAGTTTAGCTGAACTCAAATTATATGGAAAGAGTTGGAAAATGATGGTAATGATGACCACTACTTTTACTTCCTCCATACCTTATCTGTGTCGAGCCCTTTAGTCATAGCCCATGTGGAAACAACATAGTCCATTACGCGTTCACTAAGTGCCTTAGGCACTTCGTGCAGCTTCATGAATTCGCGCACATTGTTGAGCATGTCGTGATACTTTGCGGTTGCCGAGGTCATCTGCTGGATGATGGTTGTCACGTGGCCGAATATCGTTGCGTAAAGTAGAGCTGTGGAGTCATAATGGTTAGGGGCAATTGTCCATTTTGCTACTACAACTAGTACTAGTTGTACTACATATTATACCTGTATAGGTAGGTGCATTACATAGCTACTCAAGTTGCCAACATGAACAGAACTCGACAGATACCTCGGTGTGTTTATACAGATCTTGTCATTTACATACCGCTCATTTTTTTCTATAAATGTCATTTTGCATTTTTCATTAAGAATAGGCGGCTTGTAAACGAAATTTATGACCACACAGGTGACTCACGCGATACGACACTTCGTGGGCTTGCACAAGGACGATAAGATGGGGAAATGAAGAGAAGGTAGTTCGGGAATAGGATAACTAAATATTTTAAACGTAAATTTGCATCAACACTTTGCACACAGTGGACGATACAAAACGAGAAAGTGGCGAACAATAAAACAATGGTGACTTGTTAGAAGGACAGAGGGATGCAGTAAGGAGGGCGCGGCCCCCGCCACAGGGAAGCCTGCGCGGGGGTCGCGCCAGTGCTCCGGCTAATAACAGAAGAATTCCGGCACCTGCCACAATCATCATGCAGATGGTGAAGATCTTCTCGTTATCGGTCTCGGCGGCGACGTTGCCGAAGCCCACAGAGGTCATGCAGGTCATGGTGAAGTAGAGCGCGGTCACGTACATGGTCTTGCGAGAAGGCCCATTGACGAGTTCTGGCCCGTCTGACTCGTTAGACCACACGTAAGAGTACGGAGTCTGAGTCACGTTGGCTAATTTCCAAAGCCAGGAGTACTGGAGCCCTGAGTCGGCGTCCGATCGGCCGATGCTGTACCACACGCAGGCGAGCCAGTGTGCCACCAGCATGTAGAAGCAGAGTAGCAGGATGAGCATAGCAGCGCCGTACTCGAGGTATCGATCCAATTTGCGTACCACTCGGCCCAGTCGTAGTAGCCGGACTACCTTCAACGCGCTGAATAGACTCCCGATGCCCTGTGCGGAAACGTAAAGAACTTGTGTAATGCATGCTCAATAATTCTTTTTATAATCAACTATGGACCTATACTTACATCTTCGTCGTGGTCAAACGCGTTGAAAACATCATAAGGCAAACAAGACAGTAGGTCTATAAGGAACCATGATTTGAAGTAATTCTTTCGTATAACTTTGGGATCGCTGACCACCTCACCACCAGGGCCGACAAACGTTGTGTGGAAGTTGAGTACGATATCAATAAAGAATACGACGTCCACAATGGAATCTATGACGAGCAACGAGACATCCTCGCTGGTCTTGTTCTTGAAGGCGACGTTGTATGGCACCATGATGGCGGTATAGAAGGTGAGGCACAGTATAATCCAGTCCCAGATGGCTTTGAATGCGCAGTAGTGTAACAGGATGTGTGGTGGTGTCTTCGGAGCTTCTTGTCTATACTGAGGCAGCACGTCTCCTGATAGTGACATTACCTGACGAAACACAGAATACTTTATCATAAAATACAAACATCAAATCAGTTAATCCATATGACAAGGTGAAAGAAATCTTCCATTGATTAACCGACCAATACAGAACACAATTGTATAAAATAATAATAATTTAATGCTGTCAATGAAATTGCATAAAAGTATATATATATACATTAACAGGGTACTTTATTAAATGCGGCAAAAGGACCCGGTTCAGCGTATGCCGACAGGATGCTCCTATACGACGCTGTTTGTCAACCAGATGCTTTCTCTCAAACTTGAATATAATACAAATTGGGCTAGCAGTGATGATAATTATAATATTAACTGTGGTATAACCAGAGTACCAATAAATAAACTTACATGATTTATAATTTTTTTGTGTGTAATATATATATTTTTTTTCTCTCAAGAGGGGAATATCTATGGGACACAGTCACCTAGATACATAAAATAATAATTGCATTTAATAATGTCTAGTAAGACAAATTCAATATTGTCTACTCTATCTAAACTGTGTCACCCCACCTTACATTTTCCTACTTTTATTTAGTATATAAGATCATTATTTCTATGTACACATTGTCAGTTTATCATCATCTGTAATATACATCGTCTCGACCAGCAACATAGTATCATTTACCCGCAACATAGACTTTAAGAAGACCTCATTCTTTAGGCATCATTACATAGTATAAAATAAAGTCGCTGTCGCTGTCTGTCCGTCCCTATGTATGCTTAATTCTTTAATACTACGCATTGGATTTTGAAGCGGTTTTTTTAATAGATAGAGTGATTCAAGAGGAAGGTTTATATATATAATACATATACACCCGTGCGAAGCCGCGCCGAGTAGCTAGTCTTAGAATATTTGACGAAAAATTCTGATGCATAAATACGTAAATTTTCTTCACAATTCATATAAAAAATTTAAAACGTACAATAAAGTAACATAATAAGAAGTAGTATAAATTCTTCGACCTGTGTTAAATAAGGGCACTCTATTATATTAAACAATTCTTTATAACACAATCCACGATACAGAACTCGATACAAGGTTTAATCATACTTTTACGTTGTCTTCAGTGTCAACGTCTGTTTTGGGATGACACAGTATTCATCCTCAACCACTGCTCCCTATCTGCATCACATCTGACCATTCTCCTTTTATGCTTATTATTAATTCTCCTTACATACATAGTCCATCCATCTTTTTTCGTTTATCCCCGTTAATATTTAGACTACTTTCTTTAAAACATGGTCCTCGTTCCTCATCTTGACATGCCCATACCAAGATATACTAAGTAATAGATATATATACATATAAGGTGCTATTTATAATATATATAGTGTAGTGTGTGTTTACATGCGGTGCGTTGGTACTGACATGCGCGAGGTGGCTCTGCCGCTGCGGTTCCTTCAGCGCAGGCAGAGCGGACACCAGCACAGAGCGAGATCGGGTCACGCTGCGTGCCAGCTTCGCAAACTTTGACAGCCCTGCAAGTAGCACATAATTTTAGGTCTTATTGTAAATGTTAAAGTAACTCGGTTCAGTATCTCTGTCTGTCGTGTTTTCACGTCACAACTACTGAATCGATTTATATGAAATTTGGTGGTTATGGATTTTAGGTCTACACTATCAAGTGTAGACCTAAAATCATTATTATTATTTCCTTTATTTGATCAAGTTATTTCACGTGGTCGAAGCCACTGAAGTTTAGATTCCTTATGTAGAAATTTATAAAGCAATTACACAGTTTAAACATAGTTCTTAGGCTAAGTTTATAGAGTAGACTGACCTCCTTTTGGGTCGTCTGCATCGATGGGCTGCTTGAGGGCGGTGATGTCGCGGAAGGTCAGCAGGAAAAGCACGACCAGTTCGCGTTCGTTGCGGATCGGCGCCACGTGCACCAACAGCCATAACGGTGTGCCTGCAAACACATGTCACTTACAACAAACGACCGTAGCTTCCCATGGACCTCCAATTTTTGTTCAGTATTCAATATGTTAGGAACTACTAAAGTAGTTGAAATTATTGTCACCGATATTGGTTTTAAAATGTAGATGATGAATAAGAAAGAATTCTTCGTAATTCACTGTCTACGAGGATAAAGGTTTTAAAGGTTTTTATAATGAAACGACATTTAGGAGACATTTTGACATACTTCGTACCACTCCTAAAAACAAATAGGTACATATGTATTTCATAATTCTTCGTAATTCACCCCGTTAGAGGAGCATGGTATTTGATGCTCTTGGTAGTCTCTTTAAATGGACTTTCTTATCTTGGTCTGTGTAAGATCTATTTTGGATCTTATCTTGGTCTACGTAGGGTTTATTTTGGAGTCCAATCTCAATTTCGATTTCAATCGAATCCAGTTTTTTGTCCTTTTAAAACGTAATCAAGACTAAACTAAATAAATCGATAACAAGGTATAATTTAAGAGTATAAAAATGTACGGACAGCACAAAATAATGCCATTCATTGAATTGACTTTAATTGCTGGAGTAAACACACAGACTGTTTTCACGTCCAACCTTTCATCCTCCACTGGTGACGAGCCAGCATATAGGTGGGAGCACCAATTCATTAGTAAAAGAAATATGAGGGATGCCATAAATTAATCCTTACTACAAATTATTATAAATAAAGTAACTCTGTCTGTCTGTCTTTTGTGTCTATCTTTCGCCCTTTCACACCAAAACCTCCGAACTGATTTAAACGATACTGAGAAAGAACATAGACACTTTTTTATGCGAAAGGTTGCATGGAAGTATCGTCATTCTTAAAACTAAAAGCTTGAAACTAATATTTTTAGGCTCTTAATTCATTATTAGATTTAAAATTAAAATTTTACTCAATTTTTTTTAAATTTGTATAAAAAATTATCGTTTATTCTAAGCACGGGCACAGCTAAAATATAAATATAAGAAGCTGATTATACAGTTTCGGGACTGCAATATTCCGATTGTAGAACAACGGAAATAATACAACATTGGAGGTCACTGTGGTGGATTTAATCGGACGGGGCGATACGGGGGTGGGGGCGAGAACGGCGATATTAAAGGCACGCCACACCTGACGCGGCCTCGAAGGTAGCCTCGACTAGAGATGGGACATTCTCATTAAAATCGTTTATACGAAAATAATCGATTTTTTACCGGTATTATCATCGGTATTATTATTATCAGTGTCTTTATTTTTTTTAAGTCTGTTCCTTTTATATTGTAAGCGTGTTAGTTGGCCGTAAAAACTAGAGTTTAGATATTTTGCCCTTGTTTATCAGATGAAAAAAAAATCATTTGAGAATAAAAAATAATTAATATATTAATTAATTCGATTCTAAATATTTGTATCGATATGTTTAAACGATGTTTCCATCGATTTTATTATTTCACATCCCTAGCCTCATGCGCGGTGCATCGGACAATTTGTACGTTCCATCTTATTCGATTGGATAAAAACACTCTTATTTTTTGTGATCGCAAGCCAAAAGAATAACAATTCAATTCAATTCACGAACTCAGTAGTGTAGCGGTACAGCATTTTGTCACACTTTCCGTTGGTTACGGGTTCAATATCCGAGCATGGCAAAAATTTATTACATTAAACATTTATTGTATATACATGAGAGTATTTTACTTTATTTGTGTGTATTTCTATATATATAAGGTATGTATGTTTTTTATGTATGTATTTACAAATAATATTCTTAAAAATAATATTCTTCTTTTCGTATCTATGGCCCATAGTACTACGTCTACCTCTGCATACGTTCGTTAGAGCTTATCTGCGGTTAATAAATACTCACAATCTGAATCTTAAACTTAAACTTAATATAAAAAATGAACATCTAAATATATATAACTCAAAGTTGACTGACGTAGTGATCTATCAACGCACAGCCCAAACTACTGGACGGATCGGGCTGAAATTTGGCATGCAGGTAGATGTTATGACATAGGCATCCGCTAAGAAAGGATTTTGATTAATTCTACCCCTAAAGGAATAAAATAGGGGATGACGGTGTACATGAAACTTTGTCAATTTTAAACCGATCGGGCTGAGATTTTGCATGCATAAAGCTACTATGACGTAGGCATCCCCTAAGAAAGGATTTTGATTAATTCCACCCCTAAGGGGGTGGGGGGGGATACATTAACGCGAGCGATGCCGCGGGCAAAAGCTAGTAAACAATAAAAGACACACAAAACAAAAACAGTACTCATATTTACCAAAAAATAGAAGAAAAAGTGATTTTACTATAATCTTTAAGTGAGATATAAAAAAGTTACGTGTGTGTGTATGTGTGTAACTTAAACCTCAACTCAAAAACCCTAATGGGCCGAACACCGACATGAATTATATTACGACGTATTCCAAAACTCATTCATAAAATAATAACAATAAATAACCCTGGACAATTAACAGAGCGCTATCTGGAATTACCCTTAAATAAATTCAAAACATCTGTTAAATCATATTTACTGAGCAAAGCTTATTTATTACTCACTAAACGATTACTTGAATGACGAGCGTGCATAGCAATAGTTGTTTATGCACGGGATTTTCAATTGATCTTAGATATATATATCTATGAGTATTTATTTAAAAAAAAAGACTAATAGAGTCTTGCCAGTTCGTCTCAATTGAATCCGTCTACTGAACTGGACGGTAGGGAAAAATATAATATAAAAAAATTGACGTTCATAAACGGCTAAAATGTCCTACATGAATAAATTACTTTTGAATTTGAATTTTAATATATTTCTCAGACACATTTCTAGGCATATCTATCTTTGTGATATCTCTACTTGGCTGTATATATAAATCAATTTAATTACACTGTAAAAGAGGCAAATTGCAAGCAATACTCGGGGGATATACTCCAACCGCTTCAATTAGCTACCACGGTCGGTTTATGTGCTGCGGGCCACCGTCGTCGCTGACATGACGCTAATCAGCCCGACACTGTATTCACCATTACAGAAGGTCCAATCAACCACCTACCCTGCCACGGGATATTGCCACCTAAATTTGTTTGACGTCACACCTGAATGGTGCAACTTGAATGAGAAGCAGACATATTTTATGTTTGGTCTGGACAGTTATTGCCGTTATTTGCTAAAATTAACCCAGCGGCTTGATTGTAGAATGTTTTTGGTTGCAGACGTGTCGTTTTTTAAACGTTAATTATTCGCAAGACTGCATCTTTGTTAGTCAGAATGCCCTTATATCGGGCTACTCGAACAAATACTCCAATAGACTATTGGTATTTAGTAACAACATATGCATGATGACTAAGGCCCTCACAGGACACAAAATACACATTGAACAAACATATGGCAAACGCTGGGCGAACACTGGTAGTTAATACATAAATACACATAAATACCCATGCATAAGATTTTGTACAACGTATACAGCGGTAAATTAATGGTTCACCTGCAATACTCCAATAGACTATTGGTATTGAGTAACAACATATGCATGATGACTAGGGCCCTCACAGAGCACAAAATACACATTGAACAAACATATGGCGAACCTAGTCCTGTGCACAAAATAAATCTGCAAATTTTGCCAAACTGAAGAGGAAACGTCACTATACATCCTATGTGGTTGTAGCCCACTCATGCATAAACGAAATATATCCTTTGGAAAATTTACACACTATCCTAAGAAGATGAAAATGGCGAGCGCAATAGATCTATATAAGACGCAGTGCTAACAGGTCCAAGCACCTGACAATAAAAAAAATAGTCAGAGTGAGAGGATCAACGTCAACATCATGGTATCCTGATGTTTAGAGGACTTTATACATCTAAATAAACAGCTTGCATATCAGTTAATAACTTTGTTACATTGTTTATTCAATGCAAGGATATTTTATTAGTAGTAAAACTGATACTTTTATACCTTAATATTTTTAAATAATTAATAAAAAAAAATATATGCATATGTCGGCGGCATATGTCTCAGGTAGATACCTATCTATACTTACCCAACATTATATACACAACGTTGATTTGAAACTTTTTACTGTATACCTAAATAAAAAACAAACATATAGTCACGACTATTATCCCGATTGGGGTTGTTCAAGTTATTGCGGTAATATAAAATTCTAATTCAAATTCAAAAATCATTTATTCATGTAGGACATTTTAGCCGCTTATGAATGTTAAATTTTAACATTCTAAATTTATTTTTTTTCCTACAGTCCGTAAACTCAAATGACTATAAATAATACAATTTGTGTTACAATACTAAAATTCAAATTATACGTTACATTATTTAGATCCGAGGAATGAGTTCACTGACCCCTGTCTATACAATGTCACTTCTCCTAACATTATCCTTAGGGGTCTTATGAAAATCCTCTAAGGATATTAGCAGTAGCATGCATATGATATAAAACTTACGATTCTTCTTATAGAGAAGTATCTCGAACTGGTCAGCGAGGTGATGGTCCAGCGCTCGGTCCACTCGCTCCACCGCCTCCTTCTCCGTCAGCTCGCCGTACATCCAGGTGCACCTGCATAGCAATAAAAAAAATGCTACTGTAAAATATATAGTAAAATTTCCCAGAGGTAGACTGTAAAAAGTGGTCTACTTAAATACTTAAACATTACACACACTACCCATGTATTTGAGACACACGCAAATATGCTCTTTTGGTAATTGTTAAATCTAAATATATTATTATATAACTCAAAGATGACTGACGTAGTTGTCTATCAACGCACAGCCCAAACCACTGGACGGATCGGGCTGAAATTTGGCATGCAGGTACATATTATGACGTAGGCATCCGCTAAGAAAGGATTTTGATTAATTCTACCCCCAAAGGGATAAAAAAGGGGATAAATTATCGCGAGCGAAGCCGCGGGCAAAAGCTAGTATAATATATATCTTTCTTATTGCAGGTTCAAAGATCTTTTTGTGTTTTTTATTATGATCGAAATTTGACCACTGGGCGACCACTGGTAGTTAATAATATAAATACCCATGCATAAGATTTTGTACAACGTATACAGCGGTAAATAAATAGTTTAATGGTTCACCTGCAAGACTTCTGCATGACTTCAGCCCGGTTGTACCCGCTCATCTTGCAGAAGGTCTCGTTACAGTACACGATGGGGTAGTCCACGATCTGCGCGTTCGCCAACAGAAAGCTGCTGTCTGCTGTAAATAACCAGAAAAGGGTAAATATCGCTACCCGCACACTTAGATGCGAAGTGCTTCAGTTGTCTAGCCATTTAGCACATAGGCTTACTTCCTGCAGTTTGAGTGAATAGTAGGGACGCAGCTATAGTATATGTGAGAAAGAGAAAGTAGGATTATGTCTCTAGCGCGCACTGCTGGCATCATGCGGCCATTACACTGTATCCGGCGACTGAGAACAGTGATGTGTGTCTAAAGGCCGACGATTAGGAGAACATTTTATAATAATAATAGCAATATTAACTTATTTTTCATACAAATTTAATTGTTCTCTGGTAAACTAATTAGAAACCTATATTTTAGATACCAATTCCCTCCTCTTACATTTTACAATTATTGAATAATATAGAATATTTGTCTTCCTAATTATTGCTCTTAGTAGAGCAACGCATACCGAAAATTAATTTAGGATTTCTCTATGTTATTGCAGAAAGATAGCATAAAGTTCTTTCGTTATAACTTTATTTATGAAAATTCGACCAAATACCGAATACAAGCCGAAGATTCGATAGTACCTACTGCGGATTAATGACGGTATTTTTATATAAACTTCTAAATAATAATTTGTAAATAAATTGTCCACATAAAATATAATTAAAATACCAGTACTAAATAGGCCTGTTTATTTTCTTTGCTCGAAGAAACCTGCCACTTACAATAAAACGTTCGAAGAAGTTAATACCGTTATTTTGATTTCATCCTATTAATTTTATATTTATTTTAGGTATTATAGGATTAATAAACTTTATGTTAATTGTAAAATAAATATTAATAGAATTTGGAAATTAAAATGTGACTATAAAGGAATAATATTATAACCATCAAATTTTAGAACGTAATATGAGCACGCACTAATGTACGACCTTTGCGTCACTATTCGCACGTAACACGTCACCGGTTGTATTGGCGGATTTTGTAGAAACTGAACGAATGTTAACGTTGACATCTTAGTACTCCGGAATAGCAACGCATCAAGAGTATTACGGGCGTCATGATAATGTGATGCCCTTGCTGTTCAAGTATAGAGACCACGCTTACGATTTATCATCAGAACCTGTCAACTAGTTTCCCATTCTAGTTTTTTTTTCGGATTACTCCAATGTTGTTGCCCGCAGCGGACCGTTACAACTTTATCAGACGATAGGAATCAGGTACAGATGGCACTCATAACCCCCGAAAGGACTTATGAAGCGACTGAAAGACAATTCCCGCCTGACAGATACGACTTTAGTTTGAAGGCGCAGCTAGGGCTCCGGGTTAAACGCAGTGGCGTTTCCTCTTCAGCTTAGCAAACCAACCAAGTGTGTAGTGACACATCCTATGTGGTTGGAGCCCACTCATGCATAAACAAAATATCTCCTTTGGAAAGTATACACTCTATCCTGAGAAGATAAAAACCCTCGCTCCTAAGAATATCCTTCCTTAGGTAGCGAACTCTGAAAAAGGGCGAGTATAATAGATCTATGCAGGTCGCAGTGCTCACCTGACAATACTCCATAAATAAAAAAATTGGTGTTCGATCCTTGGTTCAGGCCATTGTAATTTCGATCTCCGTTTGGATCGATCGAGGGGGGAACATCCTAGTTACATAAAAATGGGTTCAAGGAAGCGATACTGACGTTGGGAGGAGGACCGGCGTATGATGTTCTCCAGGAAGGTGTTCTGCGGGGCCACAAGCCCCCTGCGGCCGCCCGGCATGCCGCCGCCCCCCGCCGCCCGCCCGCGTCGTCTTTCGCCGCCGCTCAGCTGGCCGCGCCCGCCGCCCGCATGCCTCACCTGGTGGCACGTCGCGGACGTCGCGCCCCCCTGTAACCAAACATCATCATCACTGAAAATCAGCGTCGTGGCTGTATTCATGGCATAACCAACAAACTTATGGCAAACCTAGACCTGTGCACAACAAAAATCCGCAGATTTTGCCAAACTGAAGAGGAAACGCCACTACACATTCTATGTGGTTGTAGCCTACTCATGCATAAACGTAATATCTCCTTTGGAAAGTTTACACTCTATCCTGAGGAATTAAAAACTATCGCTCTTAAGATTATCCTTCAATTGTTGTTCCTGACGGGTCTAGGTAGCGAACTCTGAAAAAGGGCGAGCACAATAGATCTATGTAGGTCGCAGTGCTACAGATCCAAGCACTTTACAATAACCCAATCAACCCAATATTTTTTTTTTACTGGATGATAATGGTTCCTGCGCTAATGGTATACACTGGCGAAGCACCAGGATGATAAGATGAGCTTGAGATTAGGTCAGTTGACCTTTGGATAAATTCCTCGAGAATTTATCGCGATGGATTCCAAGGGAAAACGCGTGGACGCGTGGTGGTCAACCTGACTTGATACATTTATATTTGGTACCCCTTTGTCAAAATTGCAATAGCATATGCTGGAGGTCATTCTATTCTCCCTAATTTTGATTTTAAAAATGAATCTCTATTTTTGTAAATATGTACAAGCACATTTGAAAAGAATAAGAGCTGAATTTATTGTCAGTTCTTCTTAGCTCGAATACACTCCGAACTGACGGCAGTTTTTGACATATCATAAGAATCTGTAATAGACCTACATGAATATTTGATATAATTTCGTACTATCATCGAAAACGAATGCAGCTTAGCAGCGACTTCACAAAGTATATTACCTACGGTATATCTAATTATTATATTGCTAATTAAGCAATTCTACATGGTAACGAAGTATCGATCACAATGTCCTTCCAATACAAAGGTATTACATACACGTAATCGTAGTATAAAGATATACTTATCAATCTGATAATAGTTAAATAGTAATACTGTTAGTTACTTCAATATCATACTTTACTTGACTACATAAAGATCATATACAAAAACAACTATCTAAAATCTCATCAAATCAAAAATCATTTATTCAGTAGGATATTTTTTTTTGTTTTATAAACTTTTTCCCTACCGTCCAGTTCAGTATACAGATTCAATTGAGAAGAACTAGCAAGAAATTAAACTGAATTTCATCGTAGTTTTATTTTAAAAGACATTTATTTACATTGAATACTTATATAGGTGTCTATGTCTAATATTAAATGAAAATCCCGTGCATGTACAACTATTGCCATGCACTCTCGTCGTTCTAGTAATCGTTTCGTGAGTAATAAATAGACTTTGCTCAGTAAATATGATTTAACAGATGTCTTGAACTTATTTAAAGGTATCTTTTGGTATGTTATTGTAAATTTTTATACCCATTTCTATAAAAAACTTTATCTCAATATCGGAAAATATACCCATATTTACCGATTGGGATCTTCAGCAAGTCCTGTAAGAGTATTCCCATACAAAAATCTAGAAAATGAATGAACTTAGTAAATGAACGATTGGGTATCCAACCCGTCAGAGTCTCTGTGGGGCCTTCCCCATTTGAGTTTTGGATTGTTAGTAATGTGGACTGATGATACCATTGCTGGAAACCATCGTAATAAATTCACTATGAATTTATCCAATGGCCAACTGACCTGATCTCATACTAATCCTATCATCTTCCACTGGTGCTCCGCCCGTGTAAACCGCTATTGCAGGCGCGTGCACCATTCCATTATCATCCATTGGGGCGGAAGGAGATTGTTAGTGATGTGGATTAATAACCCCATTGCTAGCAATGTACCATGTCAGATTGAACTCAATGCGGCTCCCACTGTAAATCATCATGTTAAATTTCTGGTGAATTTGCCACGATGAGCTAACTGACCTAACCTCACGCTCGTCTTATCATCCTCCACTGGCGAACCGCCAGCGTATACCGTTAGCGCAGGCGGGTGCACCGTTCTATTATCATCCATAAAAAATTATCCATTAAATAAAAGTATAACTAATTCTTGGAAATATTCCCGTATAAATGAAGGGATGTATTTTCGTTTCTTGATACTTCCACCCTTTTTGCTTCCTTCAAATTAATGACCACCCAGCTACTTACTAGATGTTGATCACTTATGTCACGTCAGTATGAAAATACAATTTGCACATAAATTTTCTTACGACGACGCTAATCAAAACGGTTGTAAAATTTATTATTTATTAACCACCCTTACTAACTACCCCCTTACACCCAAACATAAAGAAAAGCTTTAACCCCCGCGGCTAGTGTACACATTACAATACACGTAAATGTTTGTTTGCCTTACCAATTACATAAAAAGTGCTTAAATATTTTTTTATTTGCACAGTTATTTTAACAATTCTATTTACCACCTCAGTGGTTTAGTGGTTTAGCACACTGCTTTATTTCGGATGATCGCGGGTCTAATTCCTCGCACAGTACAAACATTTTATTTTCGTGAGTATGAATTTCATGAATATGAAACAGTTAAAATTAAATTGTTAAATACAAAATTTATGAGTCTGATTGTATTGGCATGAACATAGGAAAACCCTAGTCCTATATTCATTATGTATGTATTTAAAAAAAATGGGCTTGAATATTAAACAAAAGAGGTGAGCGTACCGCCATCTTTTTTTATTTTACATATGCAATTTTTCCCTTTTTTACATAAAGAATTTAAAAAAATAATTACATTAAATGAAATCTGCATAACAGTTTGTTGCCTATAAAAAAGCCTCTTTGAATAATTCTGATGTACATATTACATAAAAATACTGTTTTAATATTCTTTTGAAATATTTTTACAGTAGTCGCAGTCCAATTGTGTATTAGTGTAATATATTGCAAGTAATTGGTTCTACATATTTCTTGTTATCATAAATTCTTAACATACATGAGAAGAAATTAATGAAATATACGACTATACTCGTACATTACAAATACCTCGTACAAATTTGGATTTTTAAGAGTATTTTGCATCTCTGGAGAGTCGAGCAAAAATATAAATTGAAAACTTTTGGTCCTCATCTGAATCAGATTTGATTTCAGATTCTTTGCGTCCAAGGCCACTACTAAGCTAAGACAACAACACCAACTACTAAGCTTAACAACTAAGCTCCGATGCTCTACGATATGTATTTTTTCGTTCAGATAGATATTGTACAAATGTTCTAATAAACACAGGGGAAAAATCGTGATTTTAAATATTTTAAGCATTTTCCAATTACAACGGGCACAGAACGGGAGGGCGCAGCGAGTGCAATAATCCTAAATATTTTATTAGATGGGCACTAGTTGACCCAGCAGATGTTGTTTTATCCAAAAAATATTGAGGGTCACGTTTCGTGATAAAAACGCTATACTATCCTTTAAGTTGCACAAAATTACATTGAACTACAGACTCTATACAATTATTTTATACTATTTGTGAAGATTATAATGTATAATCATAGATAATTGACATAGGATAATTCAGTATGATCAGTAACATGTAAAATTACATCGTTAATCTTCTAAAACTTTTTTCTGCACTTCTCTAATGCTTTTGACTGCAGCTGTCCTTTACAGGTTCATCGGACGATACGGGGCGAGTGCACATGACATTCCAAACCCGCTGAAGGACTCATGAAGCGGCTGATGGCCAACTCCCACCTGACATATACGACTTTGGTGTGAGGGCACCGCTAGGGGTTCGAACCTTGGTACAGGCGGTCGTAACTTCGATCCCCATTTGAATTGGACAGGGTATCCGTCGGTGGGAAAATAATTAAAATTTTGACCGAGGCATATATAGACTTTGCAAAAAGCAGTCTGCGTGGGCACGTTCGTATCATCGATTTCAGGCGCCAAGCAGTTTGCTTTGTTCAAATTTACAGTATAAGAGTCATGACATCTTAATGCTCTGGAATGGCAACACATGAGTGGTATCACGGGCGTTACATGTTAAGGTGAAGGCAGTGCTGATCATCATCATATAGGTGATGGTTTTTTTTTACGGATGATAATGGTATGGTGCATCGCCTGCGCTAACGGTTTCCGCTGGCGGGGCACCAGTGGAGGACGATAAGATGAACATGAGGTTAGGTCAGCTGGCCCATCGTGACAAATTCACTAAGAATTTATGACGATGGTTTCCAGGGGGAACCGCGTGGAGGTCAATCTGACATGGTACATTGATAGCAATAGTGTTACTATCCTGTTTCTTCCCCTATTACAGTTATATTAAAGTAATTGTTATGGCTAATTTCTTTTCTAATAGATTTTAAAGTATGAACAGCTCTTAAGAAAATAATAATTGTTCGGGAAAATTTTAATTTTTCCTATTTAAATTGTTGCTAGTAATTCATGACCCCCAGGTCATGAATCCACATTACTAACAATTCGCTTTCCCCCCTATATGTGATGGTTATCGCTTATCATCTGAGCCGTCAGCTTGTTTATCATTACAATAACATAAGAAAAGTGTAGACGGTTCAGTAATCGAACTTCGATCTGACACTCTAAATGACGTTGCTGCTTTCAGATGAATAATCAACTTGTTTATCATTCTAGTCGTAAAAAATGTTTCTACAGACAGTATGGCGCGACCAGACGCCTTGTTGTGAAAATTAAGGTCGTAGACACTGAACTTTAGTTCACAACAGCATTGGAATATGAACTTTATTCTCGTTTATGCAAAAAAGCTTACTATATTATAGAAAAACTTAAAATCCATAGCACTGACAATATTATCTGATTACAGTTGATTACACTAATAATGAGTGCGTAGCGACTTCTATGTTGATTATCGCATGCCTCTTACTTGTTATACTGTAATTATTATATAAAAAAAACATC